ATATACGGCCACCAACTGGGATCATTTGAGACGTAGGTCATGTTGCAGGGATGGCTGAACGAGTGGGGAATGTCATTGGCTTATGACGATAGCGTTCGTGCTAGATATACCACCGTTCAGCCCTTGTATCACCAAAATCAGTATGATGGAAATGGAAATTTGATCACGCCTCCAGACCCTTGATCAGGTGAAACGGTACAAAATCAAACAAAAAGCCGGTAATCGAAATATATTTTGATTTCCAAATCAGTATTACGCACAGGACTACTTCAACACCAGGAAAGTTCCAGTCGTTCGTGATGTCGGCAACTTATCTTCAGCGCGATTTTTGCTGTGAGCTTGCAAAAATTGAGGAGTTTCCTATGAAATCACGTAGTCATCGATCCAACACAGGTGAAAGTTTGATATGCGTGAAACAAGTATTTACACACTCTTGGTATCGCTGGCTGAGCCCGAGGCGTAACGGCCCTGCGAGTACTCTTATGGAACAAGGGTCATTCTGCGGAACTCAGACAAGAAACCGTGACACAGTTGGTTAAATATATCTCACCTTATCCGTCGCCTGGTACGCTTGAATCATTGGGCTATCATGATGTTATCAGAACGATGAAAGAAAGAGACGGTAAGGATAGAGCGAATTCGATACAAAGTGCACTTGATGCCATGGTGATGCAGATGTATTGTACTGCCAGATACATCCTCATTTGTGATTGATAGATGTTGAATAATCATCCGACACTATCGGGGGAAATTGCACACGGGAGACAGTAAAGGTGCAACACGCCAGAAGGCTGGTTTCTGATGGTACGGGCTCATATCGATGGCATTGTGTTTCAGTAAACATCTATGCTATAAGAGTGAGACCCGTCATTCCTGTGTAGGGCCATCCTGTGTCGGAACAAATCAGTATGGCCCTGGATCTGTTCAACTATTCTTCACACACAAAACTCACACACGCACAGATGCGACACACACACAAACGAGACGCACACACATAATCACTCCTTCGCATACCAGTCGATGGAACATGCAGTATTGTCAGTGCAGTATCATGAGTGCTCGATGATGGGCGGCTCCTCGCAGGCAATAATGCGGCAGTGCTCATTATTGGCTGAACTACGCATCAATCTTATGTATTACATAAGCGTTGTGCCGCCTGATGAGGCTTTGCTATTTTTTTCTATAAGTCACTGCAGTTCTTCAGTACCTCGGGATGTCAATGTGTAGTAGTCAAGAGGCTAACACCAACACCCAGGGATGAAATGCTGAAAGCGAGTCTCCTACTGCTGTCCCTGCTATTTTTGTGCATGCAGTGCCATCTAGAACGCCAGTGGTGACGAAACCAAGATGGAACTTTCTCAACAAGATCTATGTACACTCGATTTTCTCCAAGTCCTTTGTTTTCGCCAGGGAGTTGAAAGGGACCAGTGCTGGTGACATTGAGACTCAAGGTACGTTTTGACTTTTTATCATTTTTCTATATTCTTACTGCGAAGCATCTTGCACTCCTGCAGTTACTATCTATTGCGCCTACCCGTTCTCTCGTGAACTAATCAATGTCTACAGACCTATTTGTCTGGTCCCTCGCGCCCGTTCTCATGCTTGCTCTAACTCTTTTGTTTGTGCTCGCTCTCTTGCACCCGTTCATGCTTACTCTCTCATACCTGTTCTCTCGTGCTAACTCTGTCCCACTTTTTCTCTCATGCCGCGCCCCATCTCTCATGCCCTCCTACTTCTCGATGTCGCTCGGTATTGAGACCATCAACTGTGGCACCACAACAAGCGCCCGCCACGTCACCTGCATCTTTGCGCACTGTCCACCAGCCGGTCCTTAAAAAGTTTCGAGGCTTTGCTCTCAATGCTGGCGACTTCGGTGCATTTTGTTTGCCCTTGGACTCTACTTGCTTTGCGCTTATAGAAACCTTTATCATCGCTCTGAGACCTACTCACTTCTCATCGCTCCGTCTCGTCCACCGGCCAGGCCTTGAAAAGATTTGAGGCTTTGCTGCCAATGCTGGCGGCTTTGGTGCATTTTATTTGCCCCTTGGACTCTACAGTTCTTCATTGGGGACCTTGTCTGCAATACAATTTGATTATCAAATCATGTCAGATCTAGTAGTGCAGTACTAATTTTTCTACAATACAAGAGTATGTATGCGAAGGAGTGATTATGTGTGTGTGTCTCATTTGTGTGTGTGTCGCGTCTGTGCATGTGTGTGAGTTTTGTGTGTGAAGAATAGTTGAACAGATCCAGTGCCATAAATCAGTGCTATAGAGTGTTGCATACATGCATCAGAGAACTGATGAGTCCTTGACATGGTAGTCGTGGGAACTACAGGAGGAAACAATTTCGCTCCTGCGACACAAGATCATGTATGCTACAAAATTTTTGATTTGTAAATACATAGCTATTGTTGAAGAGACAAGTCGTCCTCTGCTTTCGGACAGATTAATGTTGCATTTGGCTATTGGGCAACCTTACCACTTCCAGACCTTTCAGTCACTTTGGACGTAGAAGTGGTGCCCCGGATGTGCCAAAAGGCTGTAGAATGTGTCTCAGCCAGTACCGGCCTGTCCAGGTAGATATGTGGCTGGCCGGTGTGTAGAGGTAGGCACAGCCAGTGTACCTTGAACCCGCAAGGTATGTAGCCTGTGTGACCACTCAGGCAGTGTGTAGAGCTAGGACTGGCCGATGTTTCCATATACAAGTGCTCGGCCAGCACTGCTCATACGACCACATATAAGGGTGCTGGCCGGCCATGTAGGGCAGGATCCAGCCTCTGGCCAGCACTCTTATGGACAGTCGTATAGGAGTCTCGGCCGAGCACATAGGGCAGGCACTGGCCAGCTTCACCAGGACCCAGCCTCCGGCCAGCCCTGCTCATACACCTATGTATAGGAGTACTGGCCAACTGTGGTAGGGCAGGGGCCAGCTCAGTGAGGACACATCCTCCAGCCAGCACTTGTATACATGGACGTATAAGAGCCTCAGCCGAGCACATAGAGCAGGTACTGGCCAGCACTTTTATACATGGTCGTATAGGAGCCCCGGCCGAGCACACAGGGCAGGTACTGGCCAGCTCAGCCATGACATAGCCCCTGGCCAGGACTGTTATACATCCCTGTATAAGAGTCCCGGCCAGGGGTATTGGGCAGGTACTGGCCAGCTTAGCCAGGACACAGCCTCCAGCCAGCACTCTTATATATGATCATATAAGAGCCCTGGCCGAGCACACAGGGCAGGTACTGGGCAGCTCAGCCATGACACAGCCCCCAGCCGGGACTCGTATACTGTGCTGTATAAGAGCCCCGGCCGAGGGTATAGGCCATATGCTCATTTTACAAGCAGGAGGCTGGCTGAACTGGCCAGTACTTGCTCTACATGACCGGCCAGCACCTTTATACATGCCAGTACCTGCCCTCTACCCCAGGCCGGGGCTCTTATACTGAGCAGTATAAGAGCCCCGGCCTGGGGTAGAGGGCAGGTACTGGCATGTATAAAGGTGCTGACCGGTGTAGAGACTCGTGCGTCTCATGGCGTGATATGGCAGTTTCCACCAAGGAGTGCATAGCACGAACTTGTAGCGTCACTCTGTGCGCTACCCGCAGCTATCCCTATATGAGGCGCAACTTTCCCGCACAATGCGCACCATGCGCGCACCATTCCTGCGCTTCGCGATGTATCCGCGCTTGAGCGCCCTATAGCGCCAGCCATCCAGATGCATCCATCCACTGTCCACCATATTCTCTAGTGCGTATATTTCCATTTCTTTTATTAGCATATCATTCCGCCTCTATTTTTATAATGGACCCTTACTTATATATATCTTTACATACCTATTCAGTAGCGCTTCGGCTCCGCATGACCGCGCTTAGGCGCGCTATATAAGCGCCAGCAGTACATACTACGAGAAGAAGTTTTCCACTTACTTTTCACCCAACTTTACTTTTGACTTGAGTACCACCCACTATTTACCTAGCTGAACATAGTAGAAATCTATTTGTCTGCACTTTGCACCTCTCTTCACTTGTCTTACATCTTATCCTCACTTAAGCTTACTCTTTCTCATTTCCGCACACGTGCGCGCCTTCCCGCGCCTTCGTACCTTGCGCGCACCTGTGCTTTCTCGCACCTCGCTTCAGCGCGTACCTCTAGATCTTTGCTGCACTCGCTTCCCTTTAGGGTCGAATGTGCTTGTCTCCTCAAGTAACGCAGACTAGGCAATGCACGACCTACAACATTTTATAGATACAGTCAGGAGCATTCAATTGTTCCTCTCAGTATTGTTGTTTATACACCGGTCATGTAGAGAAGTACTGGTGCCCTATACTGCCCTATACCCCGGCCAGGACTCTTATACTGTGCTGGCCAGTACTATATAACAGCCCCGGCCGGGGGTATAGGGCAGGTACTGGCATGTATAAAGATGCTGGCCAGTCATGTAGTGCAAGTACTGGCCAGCACAGTATTCTCTTAGCAGCATCCCAAGACCTAGGCCGACCTTCATGGCTGACGCCAAGCCAGATATCTTCGCAGACGAGACTATCTCAAAGAACGTGTCCAACTCACTAACCTCTGAGTGTACACTGTTTGGAAGGTGCGATCCCTCCCAAGACCATGTTGCCCATGCAGGCCATTCGGTTGCCTCAGAGCTTTGTTCCTGCATCAGGTAAGTGTCAAGTTTCACCAATCTAGGTAAAAATCACAAGTGTACCTTTTTCAAGCCACCAATACTCGAAATGAAAAGCAGATACTCTCTGTTGCTGCTGAGGGATCGTAAGAATGACATTTGATCTTTCATTGGCACAGTAGCTGGTGTGCATATGCCTTCTTGAGCAACTGACGGTCGAGCGACGAGGCCTGCTGATGGAGCTAGATTATCATCAGAGCTGTCCTCGGAGCTGTCCTCGGCCAGCCGTCTTGTATGTTTCACGGATGTAGGGGCAGCTGAGGCTCCTTCTTCATCGCTGACTTCTATGTACTTCTTTTTTGATGTCTTCTAGCCTACATAAACAGCATTTTCGAGCAGGGACTTGTTCATGTGGGCACTTGCAGCTCCGACAAAAATAACGAGTCTCTGCTTCGAAGCCTTCTGGGCTTCCCAATGGCCCCAAAGTTTGTTGATTTCCTTCACTCTCAAATGAGATGGGTCTTGCACGGTAAAACCATTGGGGATGGAGTCTGGATCCAGGTACAGCAAAGGCTCACTGGCGATTGAGAGCCAAGGTACTGGCTTCATGCTACCAGTGAAGACTTCTGAAAAACGGAAGGTGAGTCAAGTTAAAATTGACAAAGACGAAGTAATCAACAACTCGCTGTAAGATGCATGAAAAATTTGCCGAACCAGTTCTTGTTGCCCCTTGAGGCTCACTTCCTTACGAGAAGGGAGCTTTGCGTAACCATGGTTATCCAGGATGACTTCAGGCATTGCATCCTTTCCATCATTCGTTTCTTCATCGGAGTCATCATCATCATCATTGATGGGGTCTGATACACGGTCATTGAGCAGTCTGAACTGATCCAAAAAAAATACAAAACTCACAGAATTCAGCCTTTGACCACTCGGCATATTTTTCAAAACCTTCAGACATCCATTCTTTGCTTCCTCAAGAACTCTGGCTAAACGATTTCTTCTGATTGACAGGCTGAGACTCATGACTGAATAACAATAACATTGTTAGTTTACACTGAGGAGAGTGTATAAATACTCACATCTTGACACTTAAAGTCTGATCGGCATTTTTCTTGTGACTGACCAACATCATGAGTCGGCAACCCATAGTACGACACATCTGTTCTGTAAAATCATCGAGAACTTTTTTGAGGTTTTTCTTTCGATACCTGCCAATATAGTTAGAGTAGAAATTGAACAAAAAATGACAATTTACATCGCCTGTGATTCTGCTGGGGCGCCATCCCTATTCCACTTGTCCCTCACCTCCTCAACCTCCTTCTGATGTGCAGAGGTCATGCTGTTGAACCATTGCCTCGCATGTCCAGTCCTATACTTAATAGAATGTTGTACGCCTTTCTTCTGTTGCTGCTCCTTATCGTAGTTGTCCATCTCCTGCTTAAAGAGTTTCTGTGCGACGTCCCAAGCATTAAGCTCCTTCTTGTAGAACCCTGTGTCCTTAGGACAAGCCGCCAACTCTCTGTCTTCAGGGGACATGCCAAGTTCTTCCTCCAGCTCTGAGTCATCTCCCAAGATCTGTTGCTCATCACGCCGATCATCAGCATCCGTTAAGAACTGGAGGTAGTACCTCTGGATAGCCTATATATCAAGTATGTCAGCACCATTGTATACTCAGAATGAACAGTACCTTTTTCAATCCCTTTGGTAAATCCTCAGGATCCTCTCTTGTGTGATGAATTGCGACAATTTCATTGCGGATCTGTCTCAGCAAATTGTGACGGGAATTCTTCCCATTTACAAACTGATCTTTGTGGAGAGTCAGTACTCCCTCCCAAGAAGCATACCATTCAGCCATTAATGACATGTTGTATAAGTCAAGAGCTTTCGGCAAGGGTGGGTATGCGTCGCGTAACCTTAGACCAGGCTGAAAAGTTGAAATTTTGAAAGAGACGCGATCACGTGCATGCAAACCAAGACGCGTCGTTACCAAATCAACTGTGTGACAAAGTGATAACTCAATTCAAATTATGTACATACACTGTCAAGTAAATACCCAATTCACCTGCGCGCCTTCTTGGCAGTCCCAGTAGGCACCCCCTCATTCATGCGCTTGCCTTGGGTAGACACAGCTGAAGACTGAAGTACAAAATGAGTAGAAGGCGACTGGAACCAAGCGCAGTTCTTGGCCTTTGCGCTGTTGACAATTGACCCAGGAGGCTTGGTGACGGACAACTTGTAGGGAGGCAACTTTTGCATGCTACCACAGTTGGTGTACTTGCATGTGTAGATGTACCAGCAAACAGAGACATGGTCTGGGGCGTCCTCGTCATGACTCTTATCAGCAACCGTCACAGTGACCCTCTCGGCCCAGCTCTTGGTAGAGCCGCATTGGGGGAACTGTGCAGGAATATCCCAGCCCCAAGGTGAAGTCTGAGTGTGAGCGCACGCAAATGTAGTCAGTTCCAGTTTGCAGCAACCTTCAATGTTGACTCGAGTCATCAGGATGATGCTGGTGTGCTGACCGAGGCAACCTGACATACTAAGGAGAGTGGGAAACACACTGTGGACACTGAGTTGCTCAATCGCGACAAGTTCGATCATGGCGACCAAAAAATTCGTGGTGACAAGAGGTTGAAAGCGAGGTGCAGGAAAGATGATTGTGCCCACAAAGTCGAATTGAAGAACGGCCTCCTTGAGCTGAGTGTAGGATGTCTCATGCACCACCACAGAGCCGCAGACCAGGAAGACAATGTGGGAGGACTTGAGGATCCTAGCATAGGGCTTTAACACTGTAGAGAGAACCTAGGATACATTAATTCATAACGTTAAAATGTCCAAAATTTTAAACTTACATGCTGAACTTCCATCGCAACATACTCTCCCTCACCTTGACCCTCCTTCCCTGCAAAGAGCCACCCACTGTCTTCTTCCGAATTGTTGGAGAGAAACGCAAAGACGCGACCGGTGAGCTCAGAAACTGTTCGGACCTGGTCGCGGGTGTAGTTGTCGATCTGCTGATATGAAGCAATGTCGAACAAGATCTCGATGTACAGAAACCCGCCGCTGGGGTAGAACTTGTCGAGGTAATGGGAGAGGAGTGGAACGGGTGTTGGGATTCTGTCCTTGCCACCAAGGATAAAATGGACGATGGCAAGGGGTGTGGCTGCCAAGATGGAGCTAGACACCAGCTCGTACTTGCCCTTGAGCTGCAGGAAGCCTGGGAGTACAGGTGTTCCTCCTTGCTCTGGCAAAATGTTATGATAGAAGCCCTGAACAGTCAATCAATTTAAAATTTGAATAATAAAGAAAGACTCACAAAATATGGCATGGGCTCCTTGATTGTCCGCAACGAGTGACAAGAAAGACATAAAAATATTACGTCCATATGTCGGACATCATCGATATGGGCCTTGGGCACCTCAATGCATTTGCTGCACATGATGCGGGGGCACGCGTTGCATTCAAAAAGTACAATGTCACCTTCCGCGCCATCACGACAAATCAAACACCACTGACCCGCAGTCAGTCAATGAAACACTTGAAGTAGGCAAAAAAACTTACTATACTGTGATCTTCAGTTGTCCTAGTGTCTTCCGGCTCCAAGGATGATGTGGACGATTCGGCATGTGACGCAGCGGGCACCGGAGGAGAGCCGACAGGTGCCAAAAGTTTCTTGGCAGAACCGCTGTAGGGATTCATTTCTGGTTGGGCTTGTAGAGACTGTTTTTACCTTACCTTATGTTGGCACTTTTGTAGCTTACATAATCAAGCAATCTTTTCACCAGTTACCAGTATGAGTCTGAGTGCTCAGCAGTTTTCTATGATATTTCCTCTCCTCTGAGCCTTAAGCCTAGTCCAGAAACCCTTTAGGGTCGAATAGCAGCTAGGTTCTGCAAGACCCAACATATTGTTCAGACTCACCATCTGAATTGTTGTACCTTCACCGCCACAGGACTTCTTTGCCGTGTTCTTCTTTCTAGGTGGCATAAAGACAACTGCAGCGCAAAGGACTTTGAGAATTTTCAAATCAACCAGTCATGTGATCGTGTCTGTGGTTGCGCCGGCATTTTCCGTGCCAAACAATGCAGTACAAAGGACTTTGCAAATTTTCAAACCAACCAGTCATGTGATCATGTCACGCCAGCATTTTCCACGACAAACAACATCAAATATGTTGTAACATATAGCCAGGCACAACAATTTCACATGGTTCAATTGCAAACCACATCTCTTCCATCCGCTCACCTTGTTAGCCACCTACACAGACTGCAGCTGTGTAAGTGGCTCACAACTCACTGAGCGCTCATTCTCTACCGCGTGGTATGTGTCTCTTAATTCCAATTCTATTTCTAATTTGGGTGCATAGGTTGATCTTCTTTGGTTCATCCGGTGAAAGGATACCTAAGGTATGCCTCTTTTCAACCATCTCTTCACTGAACACCTTCTTTCTAGCGGGGGCTTGGCTTGGAGAGGAGATCTATGTGCACATTGGCGCACTTCTCCTCCCTTTTTTACCATTGAGTACTGGGGGCTTGGCTTGGGGAGGATTTAGTGTCCACATTGGTGCGCCCCTCCTTCAACCATCATTGCGCTTGGGAGGTTTAAGTGTCCACATTGGTGCGCCTCCTCCCATCATTCTTGTATTGTATTTTCTCTGGAAGGATGACACCTACTCCACCATAAGGTACTTCCCATTGCTCTCTCTTCTCAAAACAATGACCACAGCTTACAGATATGTTTCTTTTGGCTTGCTCCGATACTCAAAGGTAACCTGTTTGATATTCTCTTTGCAAATACTGATTGCGCTGTTCACAGATTATGTTATATAGTTAGCTATTCCTTTTTTTATCATACTTTTTATTACTGTATTATGACAGTACTAGACTGTCGCAGAGAGGGCCCCTCTGCGGCAGCCTTGTATTGATTTTTGCGCTCTGTTATTTTTTCTTCAATTCAATGATGCCAAATGTAACTTAGTTTTTTTAATTTGCAACGAAATCGTGATGCCAGGTTCCTTGTTCGTGCGAAAAAGTCACGTGACCCCCGAATGCAGTAACTTAGAATGTCCACCAATTTTCACCGCGGCATATTGTTGAAATAGGGGTGAGCTTGAGAGTACCCTCAGTGCGCTCACCTTTAGTCTTGAACATGACAGAATAGATGCAGCTGCAGCTGGATTCAGCTAGCAGACAATCAGAGTAAGAGGTGAGACGCAATTGCTCTTCTCCTCAACTCAAGTGAAATACCTGAGATACATGCTATGGGCCTTGCCAAAGCCTCATCCATTACTCTGATTGTCTTCTAACTGAATCCAGTCACAGCTGAAGATTTGATATTCAGTTAGAAGACAATCAGAGTAAGGGGTGAGGCACAATTGCTCTTCTCCTCAGCTCAGGTGAAATACCTGAGATATATTTCTTACTCCGATTGCCTTCTAACTGAATCCAGCCTACATGCAGCTGGTATCTCAGGTATTTCACTTGAGCTGAGGAGAAGAGCAATTGCGTCTCATCCCTGACTCTGATTGTCTTTCTTTTAACTGAATCCAGCCGCAGCTGAAGATTTGGTATTCAGACAATCGGAGTAAGGGGTGAGACACGATTGCTCTTCTCCTCAACTCAGGTGAAATACCTGAGATACCAGCTGCATGTAGGCTGGATTCAATTAGAAGGCAATCGGAGCAAGGGATGAGGCTTTTGGCAAGTAGCAATTGCGCCTCACCCCTTGCTCTGATTGTCTTCTAACTGAATATCAAATCTTCAGCTGTGGCTGGATTCAGTTAGAAGACAATCAGAGTAAGGGATGTATCTCAGGTATTTCACCTAAGCTGAGGAGAAGAGCAATTGTGCCTCACCCCTTACTCTGATTGTCTTCTAACTGAATCCAGCCACAGCTGAAGATTTGATATTCAGTTAGAAGACAATCAGAGCAGCATACTGGTTTATTACTTGCCATCAGCATAAAGCTTGAATTTAAAAGACAAGATGTAACTTAAGTTGAGACTGCTGTTTCTCATCTGTTTCTTTCATAATAAAGGCCTCTGCTTGGATGGTATGTTGCCACAAATCAGTATAGTATGGCCCTGTCCAGTTTAGAAGTTATCCTGATCTGGATCTTCCACTTTTGCTCCGCATCGCACGTTGTAAATCAAAAACCTTAAAAACCATATATAGTCTACACCACCTGGTTAGAAATTTTCCCATTCTGCTATTTCAATTCTGTTCTCAATACTCCAACCACCAAGAAATGGGGGATCTTGGTGTATTCTGTCTGACAGCCTCACAGTGTAGGCATTGAATTTCACCCAAATTTAGAAGCTATCCCGATTTGGATCTTTCAAAGTCTTTTGATCCACATCGCGACTTCAATTGAAAACCATTTATAGTCTAGATCATCTGTGGTTGAAAAATTTATCATTCCGTCGTTCAATGTCTGTTTTTCCAAACTTCAACCACTGACAAATGGCAGATCCTGCTGTAACAATTCTGTCCAAGATCCTCCATGGGCATGTAGATGACCTACTCCGTGATTCATCGCCGTATGAGTTGCTGATAGGTGACAAAATCAATGACAATTTGCTTCAAAGAGCCAGGTAAGGGAGTCTCATGCCACTGTCCGGCAAAACTGAACAGCTGAAATTTTAGGACCAGATTGTGGGCCAAGTGGCAGGACTTACTGTCCAGTACTGGTAGCAATGTCACGGCAAATGTCATTACGGAGATTGAACTTACCAGAGCTGCGTTCGTGATAGCCTATGCTGTAGTTAATCCCCGTGAATGTTGATTTGATGGTTGGGGGGTCTGTCATTCATTTTGTTGCCATAGTGCGGGCAGATTTAGATGTAGATTGGCTTGCAGATAGTGCCAAGGTGTCCCACCCATCGCATGCTGACAGCCAGAGACATAAGCTAGCAAAATATTTCCACTGTCCTTCATTTGGTTCAATATCAGAGCTGGCAACATTTGTTGACAGGCATGGAAGGATTCTCGCTTGGTATTTGCCAGAAATCATGGTGCCTGATAGAATGGTACGAGTCTGATTAATACAGTTTAAGTTCTTTTAATCAGTTATAATTAGGATCGTGTCAACCAGTCCATCAAATTGCTGAGACCTGCCTTAGATCAGTCTTTGCCCAAGCCAACTCAGAAGGCAAAGCAGCCTTGGCGTTCTCAAGGATTTGTCATGCCTTCAGGTGGGGGAGAGTTTGGAGTAGGAAGGGTGACCTTATGCCCCGGAGGATTCATGCAACGTCATGAGGTAACTTTATATTAATATACTTGCTGTGATACTGGAACTAACTTAAATGGGCTAGCAGCTTCAGGATGACTTGTACCAATCAGGCACTCTTTCTTTACCTGTGGTCCGAGAGTGGTTGTCCGAAATAACGGTAGCTGAACATTTGTGGTCCGCTATCACCAGTGTTATTGCGCCAGATCAATATCAGGCTGGCGTGGAATCAGTTGCTAATATGAAGGATATGGTTTGCACTTCAGATCACATTGTCTGGCCCTCAGAGTTTTCTGGATTGGAAGTTATCGTCAATCGAGAGACCCCAAGTCATCGAGACCCTGGAGCATTGCCTCCATTTTATGACCTTTTGGTGAGCCTTGGCAAAGCTCACCATGCCATACTAGCTCTGCCAGATCTGGGTGCCGAGCTAGCATATCCCCCTGGCACTATGGTTTACATTTTAGGAAAGGTGCTGGAGAATGGGGTGCCGAAGTGGGGTGATGGGGAGAGAATTGTAATTGCCCACTTTGTCAAGGATAAAGTACACGATAGGCTTGGTGTACTGAGACCAAAGTATCTGGACCAGCAGGATTTTCTGAATAGAGTGGGGGCAGGTAAGAAGGAGGGTCTAAAAGCCATTCAGAGATCAAATAAGAGAATGAGAAGGGGAGTAATTTCCCAATAGTAGATGTCCAGATGAGACAACACTTGTGATATTAAATTGGTTGACTTCTCATATGGCAGAATCTTTCCTCGGTCTAAGCACTATGTCCTCAAAAACATGCCAGTGTCTCAAGGCTATTTCTTATTCTTTCCAAGATAGAGGAAAGTTATCACAAAAAAAGGATCTGGATGTTGATTATGTTACTCACCAACCTACAAGAGACAGAAAGGGAAAGCCCTCTTGGGTTGAGTCTTGTGCTGATGTGCTGTATGAAACTTTGCCAGAGCATACCACCAGCCCAAGGAAACGAGCCAGAGCAGTACATGCAGAATCACCAGACATCCCAGAAGATGATTTAAACCAAGAAATGTTTGGTGACTTTGCTATTGACGGAGAGGCTCCTGAGCAAGGGAGAAAAACAAAGGTATATCTAACAGGCCGTGGCTTACTAGTAATTGTTTCTCATAAATGACATAGACACAAAATGACTTCATAGCAGAGTATCTCACCCACCGAGACACATATCTAGATGTCATCTTGGACTCAGAGAAATTTGCCACCACAGGGATCTGTGAGACTTGCCAATGTGAAGATGCTGCCTTCCATTGCACAACTTGCACTGGTGACCACAGCTGGTGTCAGCCTTGCCTCCTCAAATCACATCAGTCATTGCCTTTCCACAAAATCCAATTATGGAACGGCAAGTGCTTCGAGGACGACACTCTTGCTGACCAAGGATTTATATGGTACATGGGCCACGGTGGAAAGTTTTGCCCTTTCTATGGAGTTGCACAAAGTCACGTTAATCAAGATGCTTCTGTGATTATTGTACATTCTTCTGGGGTGTTCACACACAATGTGTCATGGTGTCAATGTCCAGGATCACATCATGAACATCACCTGCAGCTGCTCCAAGCAGGACTATTTCCTGCCAGTACCACACACCCTAGGACTGCTTTCACCTTCGAGGTACTAGATCATTTTCTCATTGATGCCTTGGAATGCAAGACTTCAGCAATGAGCTTCTTTGAGAAAATCAGACGGCTGACAAATAATGCTTTCCCGGACACTGTCCCAGTGAGTGGAACTGATAATACCATAATTCTAGCTCATACTGAATGCAAAACCCCATCTGTAGGATCGCTATCGAGAACTCATGAGAGTATCTCGACTCTGGCGGGACTTGAAGAAACGTAAATGGTTTGGATTTGGCCATGACAAGGAAGCGCCCCCTAGTGCAGGAGATCTTGCCCTATTTTGCCCTTCATGTCCACAGCCCAGAATCAATATGCCTCTTGTTTGGGAGCAACAGTATGAAAGGCAAGTCAATTCCAAAATTCCTGCCTGCTAGACTCCGGCCAGTACCAGCAGTGCGTAGCACAGCAGTGGTCCTGGCCGATAATATGTGTCAGCTGAGTCCTGGCCAGTACCTCTGGTACACAGCTCAGAGCCAGTGCCAGCCAACCATTTGTGTAGACTGGCCGGTACCTCTGGTACACAGCTCAGAGTCGGTGCCGGCCGACTATTTGTGTATACTGGCCAGATCACTCATATAACTAGCTGACTTATATGCGGATGCTGACTTTTGATTGCAGGTGGCTTGTTATGAAAAAATTGGTGGTAGATGGAAATTTTACTGCTCAGCATATGAACATGCGACAGCCTGAGCTTGACATTTTCCTGTCAGATGGTTTAGGTTATATGGTAACAGACAGAGAATACCAAGCACACTTGACTTTGGCTATAGAGAGTAAAGAAGTGACTCAAATTGTGTTGTATTGTCAGTGGTGGCTAAACCTGTGGAAAGCGATTCTTGTGTAGCAACCATCGGGCAGTCAATGCAGCAAACACAAACAGAAGCAACCTCAGGGCTACAGGGGTTGGTGCCACTACTTGTGCTCGGCATGGTTTTTTTGTTCCTCACTGCATAGTGGACTTTCAGAAGGGTGAACAGCAAGTTTTCTTTCATTTACTCAATCTAGGCTAAGACAAGCATTGTGCTTGACATGCTGACAAAATCACTTCCAGCCACATGAATATAGATTATTCCATTTGTAATGCCATAAAGCATGCTGCTGGCAACATTGACAACTCCCTGATCATCTATGATGTGGGGTGTCAGTGGAACCTCAACTGTGGTCAACGTGTTGCCAACTGCCCTGGCTTGGCACTCCCAGACAACACCAAGATTGTGGCTGCGGTGGGGAAATTTCACTTGAGCGCTCATAAACTTGCCTGTTTTGCTAGATACAGCTTAAACTTCATTCAAGGAGCTGGACAAGTTGATGGGGAAATTCTGGAGACACTTTGGGCTCCCTTTAACAAGATATCTCCCACAGCACGTTCTATGAGCCAAGCTCACCATCAAGAAATTCTTGATGATCACATGCGTAACTCAAATTGGAGAAAACTTGTCAGAATAGGTAAGTGCCTATATTTGGAATGAATGACATCACAGTTTCACAGTGATGCAGTTAAGACGCTCTTGAGAAAGTACAAACAGGCCAACAAGGGCATTGAAGACACTAGGCTGCTGTTTGAAGAGCTTACTGGATCTTTGGATGTCATCAAAGTGAGGGCATGGGAAAAAGATGAGGAGAAGGCAAAGGATGAGTGCGGAGAACATCTTGACATCTACCAGCTAAAAATAGATAAAGGTGAGCACTTCGAAGCTTCTATTCAGGTCCATGTGTCATACATTCTGATTGGGTGATTGGAAGCACCAACAATGGCCGAAATGCGGCTAAAATTCACAGAATCAGAATGTGCTGATACAGGAAAGTTGGGATCAATTTCTTGGCTCATTGATGGCATCAATATAGAGGATTCGCAGTATGTTGTTTCATCATATATTGATGGTGATAATGTATTTCTAATTCATATCTAGGGATGCACTGAGGGTAGCTATTCGGCAGCTTCCCAAAGATGCTTCTGCTGTTCAAAGGGCTGCACTTCAAGAGAAACGACAAAAACTGGCTGCTTGGATTTCTAAATTTCATGAAATTGCTGATAATATGACAGAGGGCATTGAAGTTCATGCAGGTACTGAGCATGTGGATGACATTAGATTTTGCACCTCAGATGCGGTGGAGGAAGTATGGGAGGCTGCAGATATTGAAGATGTGTTGGAAGAGATGGATGAGGCAGTTCCTGCAGAAGTCATGGCCATTTGGATGCCATCTTCAGTGCCTCGAAATGAGGCTTTAGCCCTGGGCTTGCACACTCTGCAAGCTGAAGAACTGGAGTTATGAAAGGGTCAAGCAAATGATTGCTTGGAAAAGTTGCGACAAGCTCTCGGTCATAAAGCAATAATTTACCGTCAGCATTTCCGAAGTGCAGATTCCATATGGACAGAAACCAGGTCAAAGCAGGAGGCTCTTCAATGCCATATCAAGATAGAGAAGTGTGTCCGAAGGTATCAAAGGGCTAGGAGTTCAATTCAGAGACTAGGGGCTGATGAAGATACTCTGACGACGATCTATCAAGATATCCAGCCACACCAGCTCAGTGTTGACAAGGAAGTGACTGAAGAGAACAGATATGGGCAGGAATCAGACAGACTGGCTTGGTTTTGGAGAGTCAACAATGGTCTTGATTTGAAGGAAGATGTGTGGATGGATGAATGTAAGTCATATCTAATATGTCTATGTTCTGCAAGTGACCTGTATTAGTCTACAGGGTAAATTGGTTGAAAGCTAAGGCTAGATAGCAAAGGTGGGAGGAAGAGTTGAGATTGGTCCAACACGAAATGGGTTGGACAGTGAGTTGGTTTAAATACAGGATGGGAGAATGGGACCAAAGATACCAACAAGCTACAAAGCCTGGTCATCAAGCTTATGCACATCGACAGGTGCTCTTGTGGTGAAGATTTGCATTGGATGCTGAAAATTCATTCAAAGACAAGTTGATTGTAGTCACTTAACAGTCTTGGCTATTATAATATCAAAGACTTATCTAGCCAAAATATGATTGTTATGATGGTCAGGAACCCTGCCTACATCATACTGTAGAGCTGGCCCATTTATACTTGCAGATATTGCAATTTGAATGAACTAGCTCTAAAGGGATAGTACTAAAACCAACATCTTTCTTGATAATACTAGGTTTGTGTCTATCAAAAATCCCATCAATTAGATATGCAGAAGTCTATGTTCAATATATACCTAAGATATTAGCCTGCCTTCCTGTATAAAGCCTAGACGTGATCCGGCCGACTCTATTATCACTGTCTGAGGTGTCGGCCAGCCTGGCCATACACGACCTGGTCATGATCCGGCTGACTCTATTGTCAATGTCTAAGGGGTCAGCCGGCCTTCCTGTACACAGCTTGGACCTGATCCGGCCGACTCTATTATCACTGTCTGAGGTGTTGGCCGGCCAGGCCATACATGACCTAGTTCTGATCTGGCCGACTCTATTGTCCATGTCTGAGGTGTCGGCCTGCCTTCCTGTACACAGCCTGGACCTGATCCGGCTGACTCTATTATCACTGCCTGAGGTGTCGGCCGGCCAGGCCATACACAGCCTGGACTTGATCCGGCCGACTCTATTATCAATATCTGAGGTGTCGGCCGGCCAGGCCATACACAGCCTGGACCTGATCCGGCTGACTCTATTATCAATGCCATCAGGAAACCTACACTTTCCTTATCATTCCTGAATTGTTTTAGATACTTGTGTTTGACCATGATGCTCCAGACCACCACATATTACAGTGACCTATCTCCGTATAATACGAGGGAACGGATGTGCATAATATCCCGTATGATACAGGCCAGCGGACCATGGGCCCAGGATAACAATATCCTCGACTATGACGGATGGGCCAGGGAGGCAAATTATTCCCGATGGAGGCGGGTGGGCCCATGCAGGGAATATATAGAGTAGATGAGTGGGCCAATGTACATGAATATTAGGTAGACGGGTGGGCCGAGGTAGTTGGATATTATGCAGATGGGTACTTGTTATCACATTCACAGGTGGGCCCAGACACATATTAAATTAGATGGGTAGGCCGAGGGTATCTTAAAATATTGTATTAGACAGGTGGGCTGAGGGTATTATAAAATATTGTATTATACGGGTGGGCCCAGACACATATTAATTAGACCGGTGGGCTGAGGGTGTTGTATGGGATGTTGTATTAGACCGGTGGGCCAAGGGTGGTATAAAATATAGATGAGTGGGCCCATGTGTATCATAATTGTAGACATGATGGAGCTGAGGTAGTTGTACATCAACCAAATCAGAGGAGGTAATAAATCAAAGTTACCAAGTTCCCGGAGCATCAGGTGATCTCCTGACATGGCGGTGCGAAGCTTGTGTTGCCCTATGAGACGCCAAGTTCCGACCACCAGAATTTGAGTCAACTGTACCAAGTTCCGAGTTCCGGGACCCAGAACTCAACACATAATTTAGTTAATACTTTTTGATGGTGCACAGGTTGTCTTGCAGAATGTGGAATCCGGGGTGCGAGGCTTGTGTTGCCCTACGAGAAGCCAAGTTCCGACCACCAGAATTTGAGTCAACTGTACCGAGTTCTGGGACCTGGAACTCAACACATAATTTGGTTAATACTTTCCGTGTTAAATGGCCAACCGAAGTTGAGATGTTTCCGAAGAGAGCAGCAGGTGCTCTTTTGACATGGCCTTTGATGGTGCTTAGGTTGTCTTGCAGAATGTGGAATACAGGGTGCGAAGCTTGTGTTGCCCTACGAGAAGCCAAGTTCCGACCACCAAAATGTGAGTCAACCGTACTCAGAGGAGGTAATAAATCAAAGTTACTGAGTTCCCGGAGCAGCAGGTGATCTCCTGACATGGCTGTGCAAAGCTTGTGTTGCCCTACAAGATGCCAAATTCCGACCACCCAAATATGGGTCAACTGTACCGACTTCCGAGTTCTGGGACCCAGGAGTTGACAAATGAATATCTGATGACTAGCACACTTCCAATCAGGTAGTATTTCATTGAGCAATGGATAATAATACAGCTTTGACAGCCAAAATTATCCCAGGCTCCCTTATCTGATCCTCTCTATCTCCACCCCCTATAACACCAAAGTCCAGACATCCAGCATTCAGCATCTGATTTCCAAAGATTAACATCCAGCATGAACAGTTCTTCCCCTTCCCCTCCTGATAGCATAAACATCTGGCGCACTTGGGCCCTGACTGTGACTTATGAAGCAGGGGAATATACCGAACAGAAATTCAAGGCAGAGAAGACTGGAGGAGGCCCAGTCATACCTTCCCCCAACCTAGACACTGATCTGGTGATGGCATGTGATCGCTTGGCTGATGTACTCATAAAGGCATATAAAAATCCCAGTGGGTCTTCATGCAGATTCGGAAATTTTGTTTTATCATTCAAATTCCTGCATGACAGTTCAGATGCAGATGGATATTGCAAGATATAGCAAATTGATCTCCCCGAATGACACCGGGCATAATGAACATAGAGAGGCGAGGCTGCTTGAGAGGTGTCCTCCTGGCCATGAAGGCAAAAGGTTGGTTGACGAACCTGCCACAATTGTCGATGCATCCGGTGCCATCATTGCATGGTACCTCCCAGACGCCCTGACCGACACCACCCAGGTGTGTAATATATATTGTTACTCAATGGATATTGAATATTAATGGAACCTACAGAAGGAAATCAGGGAGGCCACTGATTTGCTCGCTCCAAGTCTCGAAAAAAGTGTAAGGGCTGATGGCAATTGGTGAACTAATCAAACATTGTTCAACCAGGGCTCGGAAGATGTTGGACCAACTCCCGGATGCATCAATCTATCTCCAGCATGGTTTCAACAGGGACACGAGGTAGGATCTGATGGGATGGTGATTCCGGCAGTCATACTCACCAATCTCAAAGAATGTGTCAGATCCGGAGGTATCTGCATCATTGAAGGGACCTTCCTGCGAGAATATTCTCAAAGCCATTGCAAGGCCAGCAGCCATCACGTCCGTGGCACTCAGAGTCATGCATCCTGAGCAGTACTGGGCAGGATTGAGAACCTTGTCAAACCTTGGAAATATAGCAGTAAGCAAGGATCTGCCACAGATGCCGGAGGCCCTGCAGTACTGGGCATCTGTGTTTAACACCCTCTCCATCATTTCCAATCGGGAAACCCCCCATCATCGAGACCACATGTCCATTGCTGAATGCTTCAACATTCTCACCACCATGGGGAACTATTCTAATGCTCGGATGACAATGCCAAGCCTTCAGCTGGAGTTCAAGTACAATTCCAGCTGTATGATTGCGTTTTCTGGAAGGATTGTGAGACATGGAGTTTATGATGTGGAAGGGGATCGGATTGCTTGGGCATGGTATATGAGGGATGCTGTTCACATTTATGCTGGTGTTCCATCATGTGGATGGGCTAGTGTGGATGGTCCATACAGCGTGTGAAAGATCAAAAAAGAGCAAGCATTGTGACCTATATACATTCCAACAAATGAATACCATGTACCAATAGTTATCCAGACCTCAATACTCAATTTTGAGCATTTGCAAAGTGATATGTGGGACTGAATAATTTGGATGCAAGCCTCAGTATTTAATAATTGGAACTCGTGACTTGACATATGGGAGTCCCAGGTGCCGGGTTACTGAGTCCCAACACCCGGACCTCAGCACGTGATATTTGAGACTGGGGGAAGATGTATAAATACGCTCGAATTAACATTTGTTATTGCCATACACATTTGACAAAACCCTGAGCCCCGACATTGTGGACTCCGGACTCGACACTGTTCTGAATACCGAGTCCTGGATGCCCAGGTCCTGAGTCCTGAATTTCGGAGGTCGGGGTTCGGCGACCCGGAGCTCGGCAACTGTGTTGGGTGTCAGGGTATCCAGAGCATTGGAAATAGCATGTGTCAGTATTTTGCGTTTCATGGTTCATGTTTTGTGGTTATGGAATTGGGTGTCAGGGACTCGGTATTGAGAACAGTGTTGAGTCCCAGGTCACGAGCTCCGAGTTCCGAGTGCCGAACCCCGGGTCCTGAGTCCCGAATTTCGGAGGTCGGGGTTCAGCGACCCGGAGCTCGGCAACTGTATTTGGAGCATTGGAGATAGCATTTGTCAGTATTTTCCATTTCATGGTTCATGTTTCGTGGTTATGGAATCGGGCATCAGGGACTTGGTATTGAGAACAGTGTTGAGTCCCGGGTCATGAGCTCCGAGTCCCGAGTCCTGAACCCCAGACCCAACAGTTGCTGAGCTCTGGGTCACCGAACCCCGACCTCTGAAATTTAGGACTCGGGACCTGGGGTTCGGCACTCGGGACTCAGAGCTCATGACCTGGGACTCAACACTGTTCTCAATACCGAGTCCCTGATGCCCGATTCCATAACCACGAAACATGAACCATAAGATGGAACATACGGACAAATGCTATCTCCAATGCTCCGAATACAGTTGCCGAGCTCCGGGTCGCTGAACCCCGACCTCCGAAATTCGGGACTCAGGACCCGGGGTTCGGCACTCGGAACTCGGAGCTCGTGACCTGGGACTCAACACTGTTCTCAATACCGAGTCCCTGACACCTGATTCCATAATCACGAAACATAAGCCATGAAACGCAAAATACTGACACATGCTATCTCCAATGGTCTGGATACCCTGACACCCAACACAGTTGCCGAGCTCCAGGTCGCCAAACCCCGACCTCTGAAATTCGGGACTCAGGACCCGGGGTTCGGCACTCGGAACTCGGAGCTCGTGACCTGGGACTCAACACTGTTCTCAATACCGAGTCCCTGACACCTGATTCCATAATCATGAAACATAAGCCATGAAACGCAAAATACTGACACATGCTATCTCCAATGGTCTGGATACCCTGACACCCAACACAGTTGCTGAGCTCCGGGTCGCCGAACCCCGACCTCCGAAATTCAGGACTCGGGACCTGGGCGTCCGGGACTCAGATGTGAGATTTTTGAATGCATAGAATATGTTACATCTTGTATACAATGAAGACTGAATGGGACTACACTCCTTTGCCTTTCCTCAATTTCTCTAACATGTCAGTGTACATCTTCACCTCTCCCATCTTGGCTTTGATGCCCTGATCTTGCTCCTCCATCAATGCTTCCATGTGTTCTTTAATGAACCTCAGTCCCATAAGTGGTGGAGTCGAAGTGTTTTTCAACTTCTCTGGAAGAACCAAAGCATCATCCTCAACATTAAGCTGAAACAGATAAGTCATCAATCAAGGTAATTCAGCTAAGATCTTACAGCCCAATACTGGTAGTGAGAGATGCAGGAAGCCATTATTTCATCCCACTGCCATGGTTGATCAGGGATTGTGGTGTTTCCCATCCACCATGGACATGTATATGCGGACACAATCCAGGACGGATGTCCTGCAATTGGCTCATCATGAAATGAAAGGAGGTGGAATGAAAAGACGTCGTCCGGAACCGTGTTCCAGGTTAGCATGGGATACAACTTAAGGATACAAGCGACAGGGACCGGAACCACCGACACGATATTCTGTGAAGCGGAGTACTGCAGGAGTGGTGTGACAAAAGTCTGCTCGAATTCTTAGCATTGACCAACAAAGTCATCAGGGCAGTGGTCACATACATTCATCTCCCATTGCAGCCCAGCTTTAAAATACTTGATCTGGTCAGAAGATACACCATTGTTGGCAGCTTCCATCCGATATTGAGAGATGCATGCACGGACACGCGATCCAGCCATTGCCAATGTGCAGGAAATAGTTGCAAGGCTCAGCTTCAGGGGTCGGTAATGGCTTCCGGCATTCAGAGTGCCAGAAGTGGATGCAGGAGTTGCAGACATGGCTAATACAGGACTATGACGCTGGCAATACAAGTGAAAGATGGTGAAGATGTGAATATAAGAATCACTGATGGATGGATACAAAATTCAAACTCCGACATGGGCTGACCCGGACAATTCCCGGGCCTCAATTGTGTATGTGGAAAAAGGGACTTCATGAGAAAACAATGTTCATTCATCTCCAGCCTCTATCAACACATTTTGTAGGTCTTGAAAAGCTGCCTGTGCATCCTGTGCGAGCAATGAATACATTTGGGATTGCCTTCCGGCGTAGCATCTGTGACCCGGAAGTCATTTCTCCAATGATTCCTGCATGTGGTTGCCCCATTGGGTTGTTTTCCACAAAAAGAACTTACATGTCCAATCCATCTCCAATTTGACCAATAGCATTTCTTCCCTCCATCAATCCCGTAGTGCCTTTGCCCTCAGCCAATGGACTCGGTAAACTTGGCATGGGTCCAGTCAGGTAACCGCTGGATATGACATGCAAGCAGAAACTCACATTCCTCATTCCACGATTGATCAGGACCCCCGAGGTCGACTTCAACAGACGAAAACCAAGCCAAAGATTCATTTCGTTGACCTCGGGCATTTGGGTCGCCCACTGCTGTGCTGATTTTGAGTTACTTGCAAAGCAGGGGTTTGTATTTCGGAAGCTGGTCTTGCCCCGGCTCAAGTTTCATCATTTGGTTCCTTGTCTTTGTATATATGCTGGCATGGAGGGAGACTGCCTGCTGCACCGACATCACCTGGGACCAAGCTCGAGTTTTCAGGGCCTGGGATTTGGCCTGCCTAACGGTTGTTCGGAACAGGATGGCCTTGTTGCAAAGGCAAATGCGGAGATTGTGAAGGGCATCATTGGCCTGCCCTTCATGAAGTGACATCTCCAGGGGAATCAGATCCTCTGCCATGCATCGTCTGCATCTATCAACCCCCAGGTTCGATGGCAATGGGATTACAGTGAGCTCGGGAGAGTTTGTCCATGTATGAGATGTCTCTGTGAAATATGCCGGGTCATCATCGAGATCATCTAGAATGTCTACATCCAAGTCCTCAGGTTCATCATCTGCATCAAATCCCTCCCCAAGATGTGTTAGAGCAGACCGAGCAAATCCATCTATCTGGCCTTGGAGCCGATCCCGTTGACGGGCGATGTCTAATCTCTGTGTCTCGGTGGATCTTCTTCCGATCCTTCGGACCTCGATGAGCAATGCAATCTGAGCTTCTTCAATTGCTAACCCTGTTGATATCCATGTTGCCACAGATCTGTGAGAGGGTGCTGCATTGCGGGCATTACCCTCCTCTAACAATCTAAGCTCAATCTCATTTTTGCTACGTGCTGAGTGCAATATTAATTCAGACCTCGATGGAGACAATGGAGCTCAACGTACCCTTTTGATATTGATCTCATATTCATCCATGGCTGAAGGATCATTCAATCTACTTGACTGAGCTATCCTCTCCCTGGCTAACCATTCTGTCTTCAAATGTGAGGGTGCTGCTTCATCGAGTCTGTCGAATGCCTTTCCACTTTCCGAGATGCCATTCCTAGCCAGTTTGTATTTCCGGCATAGAGTCCTTTTCATGCGAATCATCTTGCAGAAATTAGAGTCATTCATCTGATAATCAAGGCATTCCTTTCGGTGGGGAGATGACATTCCCCGAGCAGCAGGGGAGATCAGATTGAGCCGTGCCCATAGCATCTCCATTATCTCTCCATCGATCCGACCAATGCCTTCAATAAAGTTAGAAGCATATCGGACATAGTAGCTGTCCTGATGGCCATGAACGTGCCACAACCCAATTCCGGGAATGATGGTTAGTTGTGGTGCCATTTCTAGAAATCGACTTCGATCCACCCAAACCTGAAAGTGTTTGTTGTATTGACAATTAATATCATAGAAGGTGACAGCCCTGGTGATGCCTTCCATGTTGTGCCGGGAAGCCTCACAAAGGGCGTAGTCCATGTTCATTTGTCTGCAAGTGACCCATGGTTAACTCGTGAATGGGGAATGGTGGATGTGGCTTGCCTTTCGCCTTTCTGAAAATCCACCATGGAGTGAGGGACCAAGCAACCGTGTCTGGCACAGGCAACTCCCCTGATACCGGTGGACTCCAGCTTGTGCCGAGCAGCATTAGCTTGATTTACTGCCCGGTGATTGTTGCAGCTTGATTTTTCCACTGTGTCAGCAGCCTCTGCCAGATGCATTTTATACCTGTCCTTTCCTACCATGAATCCAAGCCTATCGGACAGCCAAACTTCATCGAATGGCTTAATGGGATGCAGATGTTCGGCTTTGAAATTTCCATCCATCACAAATGACTGGGTGTATTTCCAGCTTGGATCGCTAGTATTATTATGGAGACCACAGCGGTTGAGAATAGGACTCACTCATCAAGAGATTCATCCTCTGACAACAGCACATTAATCCCAGGCTGAGGACATGCTGGGCAAAATAATGCGAGTTCTCCTATGCTCGGGTTATCAGAACGATGGCCGAAGCCATGTCATTTCATTGTCTTCAACTGCCTCCACTGTCGAGCGACCCTCATGAGCTCTCTGTATCGGTCCTTGCAATGTGCTTTGTCAATATGATGACCGGTAGATGAAGAGGGTAAGGCATTACTGGAACAAGGTGTGGAAACATGCTGGAGGTCATTCGCCGGAGCTTGTTGTAATAGTTCATCGCCAAGGTACCGCATTCAAGGCTGTCCAGTAGAAAATCATTGAGCACTCTGAAGGTGAACACAGTCTTTGGCCTGTTAAAAGATGCAGGGAAAAATCCATGTCGAAACATTTGAATGTCCGGACTCATGGCATTCTGACATTCACAGCATCGAACCTCCAGGTGATGAACTCCGGACTTGTCAACAATGACCATGGTGTTTTCCTTTGGCTGGAACTCGGGTCCGGACACAAATGGCAGATCTTCAGGCTCGAGCAGGTCTTCGGGTTCATCTTCTTCAAACAAATTCCACTGATCGGTGACTGCCGGACATTGTTTGCCATCATGGCCAAGGTATATAATGAGTCCCACATGAGCTAGACAACTCCGCTCAAAGAATCGCCCATTCCATTGACTGATCCAGTGGAAAGGATTGCTACGATGTTGACTCCTGCAACAGTCCGTGCAATAGAGTGGCTCGCCAAGACAATCTTGACATTTGTACACCCCATCCTGTTGGCAGATGATGCATCTCCTGTCTTCTGGTGGAGCTTCTCGATAGAGGAAGTGATGTAGATATGATTCCTGCCTTGGCAGCCATTGCCTGAGGTAGTCATTTTGACTCTGTATTTTGAATGCTTAGCCATAGTTTGAATGACACTCCAACATTGTACATGAACTTGCCATGGTTTTTGGGAGTTGCAAAGGCTCAAATGAGCCTTGATCCTGCTCATAAGTATTGTCAGGAAAGTCTTCCCAAGGAGGTGGTGCCTCAACAGGCTGAATTGTTGGTGATTCTGGGGGAGAGTTAGGCATGGACCTGTAGGCATGTCGCCTCGTGCTTGCAAGTGGGACCTTGACCCAAGTCTTCCTACCTTTGCTGCCCCTTGCTTCCACCCTGTGAGATTTTTGCACTGGGGTGCATCTACCTATCTTCATCTTGTTTATTAATGTTGCAAACAAGGCATCAGCTCAGGTGTAATGAATTGTTATTGCAATATGATGCGGTGCAGTCCTGTTGGCACACTACAAATTCATTTCCATTAATGGCTTCACATCCAATATGGGCCAATTAACCCATCATTAGGCTTTGCTCAAAATTCAACTTCGCACAATTCATTAATACTTCCATCTTGCAAATCCTTAGCCATTTCTGCATTCTGATTCACTATGGCAAGAACAGGTCATTCCACCAACACGACTTCTGGAAGACACAGGATGCGTCAACCACAGTCTCAGAAGCTCACTGACAAGGAGATTTTGGAGTTGAAGAACTACCTTCCTGAGTGGACTGCTGCCAAAAGGAGTGAGAAGCGAGTGATTTTCACTGCCATAGCAAGGGCGGCCAGGTTGTTTGCTCTGAAGTTGGACCAAAAACAATGGAAAAAGAGGAAGCAGGTGAGGCTTCTTTGTTGTGTTGAAAAACTAAAATTTTAATGTCACATTCTTTCATCAACTCTTAGGTGTACAAGACTTGGTTGTTCAACAACAAGAAAAAGAAGGAAAGGAAGGACATGATCAAGTATGGGAGGAAATGGACTCCCAGGATGGTGGTCTACCAGCAGAAACGCCAAGAGGTGCTGAAGAGGATTGAGGACGAGTCCAGGGTAAAGCCAGGAGATCCTGGTATGTTCAAACATTATCAGGCGGTGGTGAAGATAGTCATGGCTGAATTGGACGATGACAAGTTGGAGAAGGCAAAAGAAACAGCTGAAGAGTGGTCCAACAACTGTCCGCCTCCAGAGATACAAGCACAAGTGGCTTGTAAGAAGGGTCTGGCATATATGGAGCACTTTTTGAACGAGATGTGGAGGCAATGTGGGATGAGAGTGTTTGTGATGTCGGCTTGGAAGAATGAAAAGGGCAAGGTGCTGTTCGGGATGTGAGTACATTTATCCATCGACGTAGATCTTTCGGCTCAAAATATTCATGCAGGCATGATGATAACGAGGCCTTAGGAGATGGGGACAGCTTCATGAAGATGAAGGACTGGGAGGACATTGAGCCAGTGTGGCAGGAGTATGCGCAGGAACAGTTCGGTGAGTGTTTGAATCATGTATACCAGATTGAACATGTTGAGCATCACGATGATAGGCGCCGGGGCACGGGATGGAGGACATCAGGTCAAGGGAGGTCGAAAACAAATTCAAAAACCAGCCTTCGAACTCGAAATGGATGGGGAGGGTATGCCACTCCTTCCGGAGATCACCGACACTAAACTTGAGGAGAAGAAGGCCATAGTGAGGGCCTTTCTTACATTGCACTATTGTGAGTTTATCGTCGCATCACCTGACAAATTGTTCAATGCATGGACAAAGGGATATGCTCCGGGAAGGACGAGGCAGTTGTGCCATGGAGTGCCATTGTACAAAGTCAGGATGACTTCGTGGCCTGGACATATCTTCTGGCGGATGTTGACTTGAAGGAACCTTCGAAGCTGCAAATTTGGGATACCACTACCTTTCTCCATTTCTGGCGCGCTCGGCAGGAAACAGGCGAAGGTCCAGGCTCCTTCCCACCACTGGTGGAGAGGTAAGGGTGGCGTCTATTAGTGCGGGTAGTGAAGGCTTAGTAAACCGGAAACATGCGCAAATCTTTCAAACCCAGCCGAACCTTATCCACCCAACCTCTCCACCAGCGGCTGGCACAAAACATTTGTAAACAACGTCAGCCACAGTCGGGAAACCCAGAAAGAGACAGCGGAGGTTCAATTTAGTGTAAAAAAATATATCATGAAATATATAGTTTATATGGGTTTGTTCCCAAGAAATTGACCTTTTCTGTCTCATGCTGGCTGAAGCCTGCTCCATAATTGTTTTGGCAAGAGAGCCTGCTTGTGGCAACTCAAAGTCGCAGATGCTTTCCTGCAAAATGACCGTGATATTATCTGCATCGCAGGGACAGGGATGGGTAAAACACTTGCCTTCTGGTCACCATTAGCACTCCGGGACACAGGCATCCTGATTGTCGTGACTCCACTCAACCAACTAGGGCAACAAAGCGTCAGTTTCCTCGAAAAGACTGGTATAAAAAGCATCTCGATCTCTGCTGAGACAGCGAGCATGGCAAATTTCTCTGTAAGTTCAAGAGTATCTGTTATGAGCAATTAATCAATGTGTTCACTGCAGGGAATAGAAGACTTGTGTTACCATGCAATCATAACCAGCCCAGAACAATTGATGAAGCCAGGCGGAGCATTTGATAAGCTGTTGCGAAATGTTGATTTCGCCTCAAAGTTAATTGGTATCATCTTTGACGAAGCTCACTGCATTGTGACTTGGGGAGAATTTCGGGCAGAGTACAAGGAATTAGAGCGCTTGCGCTACATCTTACCTTGCCAGGTACCTTTCATGGTCACATCAGCAACACTCACATCAGATGCTCTCAGAGACATACGTAGGCTCCTGCACATTCGATCCGAAAATCTCGCCACCATCCATGTATCCACTGATCGTCCAAATATAAGGATCGGAGTTCGCAAAATCAAATACTCCCTTATGTCCTATGCAGATCTCGTGTTCCTCATACCTACCAGCAAATGAGTTCCGCTACCCTTAGCAGTAAGGTTAAGGATCTCCTGTGCGCAGATGTCCTTCGTAATATCGGTAGCCCAATTCGATAGTGTACTTGAAGTTTGTTTTGTAAGAGCATTAACAATTTCACATCCATTCGAGAGTATATCTTTTACAGCCAGATGAGCGCTATATTTTTCACTCAAGAGAAGCACCAGTATAAATTCTGAAGCTGAAATGCCGATGCGCTGCAGGGTTTCAAGAACATCGTCCACTGGGTCGGATAATGACATATTGATTGATATATATATATATAAATTCGTTAGCAATACAATATCTAAATTGAACCTCCGCTGTCTCTTTCTGGGTTTCCCGACTGTGGCTGACGTTGTTTACAAATGTTTTGTGCCAGCCGCTGGTGGAGAGGTTGGGTGGATAAGGTTCGGCTGGGTTTGAAAGATTTGCGCATGTTTCCGGTTTAATAAGCCTTCACTACCCGCACTAATAGACGCCACCCTTACCTCTCCACCAGTGGTGGGAAGGAGCCTGGCGAAGGTCCCACATTTCTGTTCAAAGCATGGAAGAACAAAGATGGGGACATGATACCATCTGTCATATCTGGAAACTCGCCCTCTCCTCAGACTCGTATAGTGAGAAGGCAGTCGAGGGTTACCATCTGAAGGCCTCGGGACTCATCGACAGAAGCCGAGAGTGATAAGGAGAGTGCTACTCATCATATGGAGCATGATGTGGATGATGACCTGGCTGATGGGAGACCTCCGCTGAAGAAACACAGGACAGGAGGTCCTACATCCAGAGGGCCAGCAGTCCCACGTGCAATTCCAAAGCCTCGCCCAGCCAAGCCGGCCAAAAAGGTGCATTACTGACATCACGAATGGGAGACCTCCTTGCTGGGTTAACTGAAGACATGACGGGCGAGGTTAGAGATGATGTTGAAATGGAAGAGAGTATCATGCCGCCGGCACAGAAATGGAGGCGGGGCACTCGAGTCACTGTTGAACCATCCACAAGGACGACCCGGGGTAAGTTGCAAATGCCAGTAGACAGTACACCTAGAGTAACCAGAGCACGGGGACGCACTTAATTTACATATATGTTCCTGCCCTCATGTGTAATGTCATATGTGCTATTATGTACATGTCAAAGTACTAATGACCTAATTGTAAATCCCAAATCCCAAAGAGTACCAAGGCCCGAGTACCGAACCCCAAGTACCGAACCCCGAACACCGGGCACCAAGTACCAAGGCCCAAGTACCGAGCACTGAGTACTGAGTACCGAACTCCGAGCACCAAGCACCGAACTCCGAGTACCGAGCACCGAGCACCGAACTCTGAGTACCGAGTACCGAGCACCGAGTACCGAGCACCAAAAACCGGGCAGCGAGTACTGGGTAGGTAGAGTATACAAGTACCAAGTATTAAGTACTTAGCAGGTAAAGTATACTGCAATGTGTCTACTATCAGACATTGATCAATATTTACATGTTACTTGAGTCCTCAAAGGCCTCAATGATGGTATCTAATACCTTCAGCATTTCGGAGGTTGACTCCCTTACCCTTTGCATCCTCCAGAGGTCAGCATCTGCTTTCCGCAGCTTGTCGCATGTTTCAGCCCATGCCATCCTGAATGGTCTGTCAGCCTCAAGAATTTGTGCTACTGTAGGGGCAGGAAGATCTCCATGACGCTGTTGGTAATCACCCAGGCAATCTACAATTGATTGAACTTGCAGGATATTAGCAGAGATAAATAATCAAATGTTGCATACTTACCTTCAGCTTGATCATAAGATCCAATTGGCATGAACTCCTGAACCATGGCACGCAGTGCTTCATTGTTGAGTTCCAGCTCGGGCGATTGACGTTTGGCAGTTTCTGAAATAGCTTGGGAGATAGCATGAGTAAAGAACATGAAATGATATGACTATACCTACAAGGTATGGGTGCCTCTGGTACAACTGGAGTGGCTGGATGAGGCTCCAGAGTCGATTCATTCACTGGGGAAATGCCATGAAAGGTGAACATGAAATAGAAAGAATAACCTCACCAGCCATAGGAAAGTCGGGTACATCTGGAGCATCAGACGAAATCAAGGTATCCTCCGGACCAAGATACAAGTCCGGGTCATCGTACAGGGCCAGTCCATCTGCCAGAGCTGGAAGTATGTGATGAATTTGCACATGCGGAATATGTCCATTTGAATTGGAAAACATACCGGGAATCACATTCAACACATCCAAACCACCAGACGACCCAGAATCAGAGTCTAACTCATCATCCGGCCCAAGGTATATATCATCTAATGGATCTAAACCATGTCAGATCAATTGACTGAAATCAGAAAAAACAAAACATACCAAGGGACATCCGGGACTGGGAGGACTCATCCACATCCATTGAAGTGAATTCAGTGACCGGAGGGTCATGAAATCTGACCCCAGGTTGAGAGCTCATGATATCTGATGAGCTGATGAACTGATGAACTGATTGATAACTGATAACGTCGAAGTTCAACAGATGGCCGGCGATTGCCGAAAGTTGAACCATGACCAAACAAACACAAACAATGAACAATTTTCAACATCATCCTTCAATTGTATTGTTTCTTTGAAACTTCATTCTAGTGATAACAGATTTCACCCTGCTTTCAACATTCTCACATCTCTCAACTCAATCCAAATGTCTACTCAAGTTCAATCTTCCTTGGCCGACCTCAAGGCATCCACTGCTCAACTTGTGGGCATCATTGCCGGCGCCTGGCACATCCCGGCCGGCTCAGTGGACGTCCACCTTGCTCTGACAAAGCAGGTCACCACTCCTTTGGTATGTTGAACTCATTACATTAGTGTAACATTAATGTTTCTAATGTCCGGGCAGGCTGACATCATCCGGGCCTATGAGAAAGGGGAATACATCCCTGGAATTGTGGTGTCCTGCTCCAAGGAGCTGATGAGGGTGCGTTCCATGACTCTCCGGGCATTGCCCAACTGGTTCAGCATTGGCCATGATGACCCCTGGGTGGCTAGACACGCCTGGCGCAAGCAAGTCCATGCCTGGGAGGCGTTGGGTGACAATTCCTGTGATCTCCCTGTTGTCCCTAACGTTTCCACTGGCCCACTGACTGTCAACCTTCCGTCTCCACCTGTCCCTTCACCTGCACCTGTCCCTTCCCCACCCCCATCATTCCCTCACCTCTGGTCATTGCCGGACCTTCCGGCAAGACGACCCCTGAGGTCCGGGACAAAGGAAAAGGTAAGGCCACCTCCGTCGATCTGGAGCCGGAAGTTGGGGGGAGCAACAAAAGGAAGTCTCCGATGATTTCCAGACACTCCTCCCAACCTCCAAAGTCAGTGATGAAGGCACGCAAGCGTGTCAAGTCAACTCAACTCCCGAAGTCGAAGCCATTTGTGGAGTCGGAAGATGATGAAGACCCAATTGTTCAGGTATGTGTTCTGGCTTATTTGTGACATGCTCTGAATTTGTTGCAGCCAATTTCGCGTAGAGTACCGGAGGTTGTCCTTCCCCAGCGCTCCACCATTGTTGTAAGGAAGCCCCAGTCGCCTCGGTCACCCGGTTCCCCCAAGAAGCAATCATTTGGGCCTGCTTCGGTAAGTCTGATTTATCCGTTTGGACCTTAAATATATGCTCATGTGTCCACAGCTGACTGTCGGCAGTCGTCCGGAGGTCACGGTGAGTCATTCGGACGTGTCCGGACCTCCCATGTATAATTGTCACTCATTCCCATTACATTAGAAATCTCCCATCGGTCGTCCAGAGGCTTGGGTAAGTCTTAGAAGCTCTCCAGAAACGCATATGTGTATTAACAATCCATCAAGCAACCTCCGGCAGTCGGCCGGAAGTCGAGGAGCCCTCTGAAGATACTTCCAATGCTTCGGATGGTGACCCACCAGCCAATATTACATTTGATATCACCATTCCCGGCCCAGTGAGTACTCCAATTTATTCCCCTTCCTCCATCTACTAATGGATACCACAGAACAACCCCTGCCATTATTGTGTCAAGGAGAATTGGCCCTGTGTGACTCATTTGGACAAGAGGACCAGTCTCCCCTGCTTGTCTTGCATCCGTTGCTCCACCAAGAAGATCAAATGCAACCCTGCATCTCTGGGATCCCCACCCAAACGGATCTGAGGGAAGTCTACCACCGGCCGGACGCGTTCCAAGACACCTGCCCCTGCTCCATCCAATGCTCCATCTCCCTCCCGGTCAAGGGCCTGAACTCGTAGTCAATCTCGTGGCCTGTCCCAACCTCCGGCCATCCCTGCTGCAACTACACCCCAGGTGCAGTCACGTGGTCACAGCAAGACCATCACTACCAAGAAGACACCTGCACCTGCACCTGCATCTGCAGCTGCAGCTGCACCTGTCCCTGCACCTGTCCCTACACCTGCGCCAGCTGGTAAGTCACCCATACTTTTGATGACCGGCTGACCTAATTTTTACTTAGCAGTCAGGTCTTCCAGTGTCGCAGTGCCTCGTGCAGCACTTGATATTCCCATGCCGGATCTCCATTCCATGGCAATCGCGATTTGGGATGGTGCAGCTCGCATTGCGATTCTTGAGGCTCGGGTGCAGGAGCAGGATGCTAAGATTGATACCCTGCAACGCCTCCATGAGAGCCTCCGGTGCACGGTGATCGACCAGCACCCTTCATTTTCACTTCCGGACACACCAGCCGATGGATTAATGTTGCTTGATCAAGGAGGTCCCCCCCGTCCATGTCACCCCTCCCCTCCGCACTTTCCAACCTCATTGATTTGGACTTTTCAGTGATGGAACCCACACCCATGACATCTGAGCATGGATCTGCTATGGTAGGTCCCATGGTTGAGCCCACCCAAGTTCAGCCTGAGGGTCCACAGTCCTCCGGTGAAATTGTGCTCCCAGATGAACCAGGCAACCTCTCGCCAGAATCCTCCGGCGATATTGTGGTCTCTAACGAACCAGGTAACCTCCTGCCAGAATATGCTTCCTCTGATGAGGAGATGGATGTTGAGGGAAAGGTTGATCTTCCTGGTGAGGAGGTTGAAATGGCTACATAATTGCTCAGTGATAGATGTACATCAATCTTTTCAATGCATGTTACCTATGCCACAATTGAATGGTTCAATGATCACTCCCGATATCCAGAACTCGAAACTATAGATTGAGGTAGATATCACCCGAAACCCGAACACCCGAATGTCAAATTCTCAGTGCCAAACTCCGAGTCCCGGGTGCCGGGTGCCAGGTGCCAGGTCCCGAAATTCAGAACTCAGGATTTGACATTTGAGACAAACAACATCTCTCAGACAATGTTTAAATCAACCTATGTATATCTGTAAACATTTTACTAACCCCCAAACCCCAAACCGAGATGTACCAACCCCCAAATCCCAAAACCCGAGACTGCCGGGTCTCGGGTTTCGGGGTTTGGGGGTCCCGGAACTCAGAACTCGGGAAATTTGGGGAGATCAATAAAATTTGATTTACAATTGAGTTTATAGACAAACACATTGACTTACCCATGTTTGAAATATATTTTGTTTACACATACTGAGTTCCGAGTTCCGGACCCCGAGACCTGGCAGTCTCAGGTTTCGCAGGTCCGGAACTCAGAACTTGTGAAAATTTGGGGAGATCAATAAACTTTGATTTACAGATCAATAAAATTTGATTTACAATCGAGTTGATTGACAAACACATTGACTTACCCATGTTTGCAATATATTTTGTTTACACATACTGAGTTCCGAGTTCAGGACCCCCGAACCCCGAGACTGCCGGGTCTCAGGTTTTGGGGTTCAGGGGTCCGGAACTCGGAACTCGGTATGTGGGAACAAAATATATTTCAAACATGGGTAAGTCAATGTGTTTGTCAATAAACTCGATTGTAAATCAAATTTTATTGATCTTCCCAAATTTCCCGAGTTCTGAGTTCCGGGACCCCCGAACCCCGAAACCCGAGACCCGGCAGTCTCAGGATTCGGGGGTTGGTACATCTCGGTTTGGGGTTTGGCACTGAAAATTTGACATATATATTTTTGTGAGTGTTTTGCTTCTGGTGTCCATGCTTATAAATAGGATATGTTGCACACCAGGGTTCAGGTGTGGGGTTTTTCCACTTCAGTCCTCGATTATTGGTCAATGCCACACATGGTCGATTCATGTTTTTGTGCTTAGGGGTTTAGATTTGGTGGTCGATGGTAGGTATATGCACTCATAGTGTACATGTATCCTACGTGTTTGATTCGCTGGTGGCTACATCAGCTGTATGTCTTGATGGAACATATCTAGGCTCACCCATATATGTACCCATCTATGTACAATTCCCCCACGTCAGCCCACCCATCTATGCATTATCCCCCACCTCAGCCCACCCATCTACGTAATACATCCTATGTTGGCCCACCCATCTATATAATTATACCCCACCTGTCTATGTAATAAATATTTTATCGCATCCTCGGCCCACCCGTTTATTTGATATCCCTTTTGTCGGCCCACCCGTATATGTAATACTTTTCATGTCGGCCCACTTGTATATGTAATACACCCCACATCAGCCCACCCGTCTATGTAATATTCCCCTACCTCGGCCCACCCATATATGTAATACACCCCCGTCGGCCCGCCCGTCTATATAACAATATTTCCCTTACATCTCTCTTCAGCCCAGCTGTCTATAATATCCTACTCTACATATTACCCAGATGGGCCCACCCATCTCCATGAATGATCATATTCCCCCGGCCCATCCGTCAACATCAAGGATATATATATCATTGGCATACATGGGCCCACCCGTCTCCATCGGAAATAATATGTGTCCCGGCCCATCCGTCATCATCGAGAATATATACAACATGGGCCCATGATCCGCTGGCCCGTCTCATATGGGATATTATGGAGGTCGGGTGGCCCGTATAATACGGAATTTGTCACTGAAGGGGCTCAGGATGGCCCCATTGGCTGGCATATGGATCCTTCGGCGACCCCTCCGAACTAGGATTATCCCATGCACAGTCCTGTGGATCCTGGTCATTTCTTCCGGTGTTGTCGGCAGTGAATCCCGGTGGTGAGACCCTGTGTACCGTAATGTCAGAGGTCCGCATGCTTTCCAGAAGATACATATCTTTAGACGGTTAGAAAGCAAAGTCGATCGAAATAAATGGGAGGCTCACCGGACAGCATGCTTCTGATTTCGTCCCAGTGTCCATTGAAGCACAGCTTGTATGCTAAGTCACAACATCCGGTGAGTGAAATTCAGGACTATGGACACAATCAGCTTACCTTGATCTCTTTTTGTGATGGGGTCATCTGTGTTTTCATAGCCGGCTGGAAATTCATTCTCCAAGTTATATTCTGTTGTTGCAAGTTTGTTAGTATACCGGCTCAGGATGGGGCATGCTTACTTCTAAAACGTGGATAGTCCGCCAATCCGACTACTCCTTTGAACTTTGATTTTCTCAGCTTAGGAGGAGTCCATGACTCTAATGGTACATATGCACCCCACCAGGCGATGGGATCTTTGTCCAGAGGAAGGCGTACCGCTGCCGGACTGTCTCTGTCAACATTGCTGCCATATATGGAGAACATGGAGGGGGTATTGCCAATGTATGGCTGTTCGGGAATAACAAACCGAACTTTTCTTGGTATCATCATGGTTGGTTTGAAAAAGATTCGAGGAGGATAAACAAACAATCCGACGAGTGGCACCGTGTCGCAACTGTGGACCTTTGAACAATGGTGGACGCTGTCATGATCTTACTGTCATCATATCCATGTTCTTCACATTGCACTGACACTCAGGAAGAGCCACAACCCGACGTCTGGATATAAATCCCGACCCGTGTGCAAATTTTTCAAAGTCACCTTTCTGTCCCTTCCAGTATACTATCTCACCCTGTTACCCTACAACAAAGTTTTAACATCGCCATGACACCTGCGGACACAGCTAACGAGGCTTTGAATGAAACACTGGCGGCTGTGCAATTGTTGATGAAGCGGTGCATGACTGTTGCGGCAAGGCGATCCAGAGGCATTGAAACTATCAGATGAGATCGCCAGATGGCTTGTGAGTGTAGTTTGTTGCTACAATGTTATTACTTTCATTAATATGAACAGCCTTTGACAAAGGCAAATGACTTGAAGCGTCATGCAGGGATTGCAACTTCGTTGTCCCCTGGAACTATTGTCATGTGCATGCCGTTGTGAGAGACTGCTCAAAGGGTGGCGTCTTTCAGACTTCGCCGGATTGGGGGTCTGTTACTGACAAGGATCCGAGAATTAAGGGTCACCCGCGGTTCAACAAGACAATCAATTACCGACCCTATCGTCAGCATTGAGAGTCCTGATCTTCCTGACGCTCAGACTCCAACAGCAATAACAAGAATATCCTCCTCTTCCTCCTCCTCTGGAACTTCGGCACTGGTCTCATTGACAACACCACCCGTCGCGGCTGCATCTACTTCGGTCCCTCCTCCCGGTGACATAGACCGTTCGAGCATATCCGCCGCACCGGCAATAGAACTGTCGTCATTGTCACCTGTCCCCATTCTCAAAGGCATTGGAACCTCTGACCCCCCTTCCTGTGTCAGCTCCAATCCCGCTGAAATACAACCTTTTTGTGCCAGGCATTAAGAATGCGGTGAATACAATTCCAAAGGGCGGCAATGGTAAGAAGAGACAGGCGGAAGATGACCAACCGGTAGAGGCTAAATTAGTTGACAACTCGACTTCCCGGTCACGGAAGTCTGTTCCGAAGAGGAAAAGGGTAATGTCGGCTGATGAAGACAATGAAACTACCAACCCAGTTCTGATGCAGGTGAGTTCCGCGTCTTTCGTTCGGCATAGCTGACCCACCGCATGACTATATTCCCTAAGGTGGTACCATCACAGAGCATCACCGAAGAGGATTTGGCATCGGCACGTTCGCATCACTCGGAAGGCACAGATTATAGAGGTTTCTGGGATGCAGAAAGCAGGGTAAGTGGTTTTATTGGGCAAACTGCAGATGTTGACTCGGATGTTTATCAGCCTGTTGAATGGGGCCAGGACTCTGCTATCGCCACGGCAGTGAAGGTAACCTTATTATTATTTGCATGAAATCTCATTGACGCTAAGATGTTTGAAGTATTCCGTTCGTCATCACCCACAGAAATGCGACAAGTGCACCAAATTGGGTGTGGCCTGTCTTGTCCTCCCGGATAAGAAGTTCGGATGCATTCGACTTGCCTGCGCTAATTGCGATGATATGAAGATCACATGTGCGATCAACGGAGTCGGCGTCCGAGAAAGAATGCAGGCAAAGGCAAAGGCAAAGGCCACAGCGGCAGGTGACGCCCACCCTGTCAGACGATCTAAGTCACGTGCCCCCAAGTCCCGAGTTGTGAACAATACTCCGGTCAATACCCGGTCCCGGCAGATCTTGATACCGCCGGCGCTGTCCTCTTTGGATGTTGAGCCTAACAACATTGAACGCGGAGGTGAATATTTTCATTCCACAGTTGGTACTTGAACTGAAACTTATCAAGACTCCGCACCGGATGCTAACCCAATGTCTATTGATATTCCACCGGTTCACACAGCGGTTCAACCGATGCCTACGATGCGCCCATCGGTGCAAGCCGAGGCGGAAACGCCGCGAGCAGTCAATCCCACGCAGCCCGAGCCAACTGCGAGGGATATCCTCCAGAGCATCCAGGACCTTGGAAGGCGGCTTGATCTTCTCGCCACCAGCGAAAGGGTCGATGAGTTGGATGCAAGACTCGGTTCGGTGGAAGATGTCTTTGGGCGGCGATTGAATGCACTTGAGCAACGTCTCAATTCATCTGATACAGAATGGAGAGCAATGTCAGCTTCTGTTGGCCATTTAACCATTGCTCTTCGGGATCATAAAGATGATCTTACTGCACATCGTTCCCGGATCAACACTACCGCTTATGCCCCCCCAAGTCATGCAAATGCACACCTGCCGGCCTGGCTCGCTCAGAGTGACGAAGACCCGCACATCTCAGCAATCGGCCGACAGTGGACTCATGCGTGGGATGTGTCCGTGATGACGGGTGTTCAAGGGCATGTCGGTACCTCAGCATCTGCTGTGCTCGTTACGGAAACCGTCGATTCCATGGTCCTGGCAGCGGATGTATCGCCAGACACCTCTAGCGATCTCTCAACGATATCCGATGATTAAATACTTATTATTGGATCTTGATGGACAGTGATGATGTCATGTCTTTACTTAGTTTTGATTGCATTCATTTGGTGCTCCTACATACCGACGATATTAAATGGGATCCTGTATTGGAAGGTGTGTGACGTTAATAGTTAGCCTGGGCCAGGAAGATCAATTTGAATATTGTGTTAGCGTTCCAGAACTAAGTCGTCTGAGTATCAAGGTGTGATATATCCAACGGCATAATGCTCTGGTTCGGATGGTTCTTGCGCTTGTGGCACAGGCATGAATGCAAGGTTTGTCACTCCCGACTACGGCCCAGCGAATGCTATATGTACTGCATATTCATCCGACATGAATATTCACGTCAGATCAGGATCTGATATTATTCGGTTGCATGCTGTGAGGCACATATCCATCTATTAGCTATACCAGCATCCGGAACATAAGTATCACAAGCCTCTGGCATGTCGCCCTATATTTAGAGAATGGTAATGATTATGACAATCTCGTGCTTATAGCAGGGCCCGGCAGACCCATGCCGTCAGCATGAATATGAACGTCAAATCCGGATCGGCATTGATATATCATTACAGAGTTCGGTTGCAAATATGTGGTGCTAGACGCCCGATATTACTCACAATCTTGTATTATGTAGTGTAGAAGTTTGATGGGTAGACCTACTTGCACAGTATACACAGATGGAATAAAGAATGCTTTACCGGCAGGAGCCAAATGTTTGATTCTCGCTCCAGCGCCAGATGAATGCAATGTTAGAGCAATCATGTTGAACCGTTATAACCGTTACCACATTCGGATTCATTCATCCGGGGAGATTATTACGTAACATTGCGTCAAACAATTGTCGGACCTCTCATGGATACAAGACTGAGACCACAAATTTCCAATCCACAATCCACAATCCATCACTTTCCAGTAACACTCACAACCGGATCGATAAAATCCAGCCTTGTCGGAATCTCCCAAAATCAGCTTTTGATATCTACTGTATTCATTTCCCTCTGCACCACCGTATTTTGTTGACAAATCCATCATGTCCGTACCTCCGGAAGCAGCTAACGACGCATTGAAAGTCACACTGGCCGTCGTGCAATCGCTCATGAAGCGATGCATCAAGGTGAAGGAGGGCGATCCCGAGGCCTTGAAGCTATCGGATGAGATAGCCAGGCACGTGGTGAGTGTATCTGATGTTCCCCTCAAAATGCTTTTTGTCAAACTAACATTTGTCATTTGATACAGGCAAGAGACTTGAAACTTTACGCGGGAACAGCAACATCATTCTCTCCTCTGCTACTCTCCTGTGCCGCCATTATCCGGCAGTACTCAAGGGGCGGCGCCTTTCAGAGTGTCCCAGACTGGACCTCTGTTACTGACGACGACCCACGAATCAAGGACCACCCGCGATTCCAGAAGACCGTCCACTATCACCCACCCTCTGCGCTTGATGTCCCCGTCATTGCAACATCGAGCATTCCCACAACCATTCCCGCAACCACTTCAGCTCTCATTGTCCCGCCATTCCCACCCTCAGCTCTCCCTTCCCTGCCATCCCGCACAGACCTGGATCTCGTCGCCAAGCCGGTGGCGGAACCGAGACGATCAACGCGCATACGAGCACGCAAGAATCCATCCCGCACGGACCTGGATATGGTCGCCAAGCCGGTAGCGGAACGAAAACGATCTTCCCGCCCACGAGTGCTCAAGAACCTGCCACCTCTCAGTCGTCCGGCACATCCACCCTTGAGATACCGCCACCTGTATGTGGCCGAAGCTGAGAGGGAACAATGGAAGGCACTTTTCGAGGCCGGCGATAGCAAGAAGAGAAAGGCGGATGATGAAGATACCGATGGGGCCGATGTAATTGAAGCCTCCAAGTTGGCTTCCGCGTCCCAAGAGCCGATGAAGAAGAAGAGGAAGTTGAACCAGAATGTCGACAATAGGCCAACAGGAATCATCGATGTGAAGCCAAAGGTATGTCTGTTGATCTTAGTTCATGCATCCAATGACTTACCGCTGCAGACATTACTGACCGTCACCACTGACAAGGTTGTTCCGCCAGGCGATGAAAAGGCTTTCTGGGACGCAGACACTCGGGTATGTGATCTGCACTTATCTATAGCGCTGGTATGCTGACCAATTTCAAAGCCTGCAGAATGGGGCTCAGATGCTCACATCGCCACTCCGTGCCAGGTAAGTCTGTCAGTACATTCACAGGAGTCCATGGCTAACATATGTCAAGCATTCCGTTCGTTACCATCCTCGGCAGTGCGACAAGTGCACAAAATTGGACATACCCTGCGTTGTCCTTCCGGACAAAAAGTTCGGCTACATTCGACTCGCATGCGCAAATTGCGACCAGATGAAGATTACGTGTGCGATCGACGGCGTCGGTGTCAGGCAGAGAATGCAAGCGAAGGCCGCCACGGCTATAGTTGAAGGTGAGTTTGCTTTCAAATCCGGCGAGGATCTTGAAACCAATCCAGATGACTCTTAGAGGAGAAGCAACAGCCTGGTCCGCCGGCTGGTGTGCCCATGTGCAAACTCCCAACCGTTGGTACAAGCCCTCGGCCGGAACAGGATGATCAGCCCGCGCCAGCCAACATCGCCGATCCCGAGCCAACTGCAAGGGACATCCTACAGGGAATCCGGGACCTCAGCAAGAGACTGGATCTCTTTGCCACCAATGACCGTGTGGATGCCTTGGAGATAAGAGTGCGTTCGGTGGAAAATATCCTCCACCAGCGGTTGAACGCACTGGAGCAACGCTTCAATGCCTCCGATGCCCGGTAGAGAGCGATGTCGCCACCTCCGGTATATGTAGAACAAACTTGTCTCCAATACCATATATAGTGTACTTTTAGCTATTCTTTCTTGCTGTTCCCGGTCACTTTCCCTTGTATTCCGGTTCTCGCTCTCTGTATTTGTTAGATGAGAATCACATTGTTGTTCCCCTCAATATGTTGTGATCTGTGGTGAGGGAATGCTTCAATTTCATGATGCTCACATGAAACTGTGACAGCCAATGGCATGATAATCCGGTGTACATAGTCCATGCGGTCGTGGGTGCATCACCGATGCTACATGCACGGTGCATCCCTCCAAGAGGTGTATCAATAAAGTACATATATAACTGTCTATTATCATACCATCTTCCGGAACCAGGCGTCTCCAGCTGATCGGCTGTCCGGTCATCACCTGCTTATCGGATTTGCATTGCTGTGCAACTTGTGCGGGTCCGACATCTTCATTTAGTCCTAATTTCAACTCTGTCCGAGACGCAGCCCTATAAACGTTCACCATGCCACCTTCGGAGACCGCATGCTATCCGTGTCACCGTAATATCGGTCGCCCCTTCCGAAATCAGATATGCAAGTACCGGGCACTCATGAGCCTTTCCGAGATTTAATGCTTCACTCTTTGGGCCGATTAGTAAGACACTCTATAGACTCAAACATCACTCGCCAGACATTCCTGACCTGTTGGGCATATCCTGTAGGCCCTTTCGGTACTCTGGACCAAACGCAAATTGAGTGGGCCCATCCGTCACTCATTCCGACAATCCGTAGATGCACTCTCGCCGGCCACTTGTGTAAGCCAGTTGAGGATAACCAGTATCCGTGACTACATGTGCACCGACAGCCGACAATCCCTAGCCGAGCCCTTCTCGAACTCACGAGATGAAACACCAATACCGGGCCGGAGAAAAATCCTACTGGGCCTATCAGGAAATTCCTGCACTTGCACATGTATGAAGAACATCCCGCTGGGCCCAACCGTCAGCCTTTCTGAGATTGTGTATGTCTCTCATGGGCCAGAAGCAATAACTCGCTTGCCCTCCGAGACCAAATGCACAGTCCATACCCCATATTCTTATTGATCGGCCCTTCCGAGACCAAATACATTCTCTTGGGCCACAAATTACCAGCAGTGCCCAACCATCTGTCCTTCTAAGATCATGTAGGCCTATCATGGGCCAGAAGCAATAACTCGCCGGCCTTTCCGAGGTCACATGTACCGTCCAATTCATTATTCTTGTTAGTTGGCCCTTCCAAGATCATTTGATGCCTATCTTGGGCCAGACACAATCACTCGCCGGCCCTTCCGAGGTCACATGTACTGTGCAAGCCGTACATTCTTATTGGTCGGCCCTTCCGAGACCAAACGCATATTCTCTTGGGCCAAAATCACCAGCCGGGCCCAACCGTCAGCCCTTTCGATATCATGTAAGCCTACCATGGGTCAGAAACAATAACTCGCGAGACCAAACACATTTTCTTGGGCCGAAAATAACCAGCTGGGCCCAAGCTGGGCCCATCGGTAAGCCCATCCAAGACTACCCAGCATTTGTACTGGGCCGAACAATCACCAGCTGGGCCCAAGCTGGGCCCATCGGTAAGCCCATCCAAGACAACCCAGCATTTGTACTGGGCCGAACAATAACCAGCTGGGCCTTCCCGTACGCACTGCCGAGATCAATACATTTGGGCTGCACGAAAAATGGAACCATACATCGCATCTCCGGCCGGGATCATATGCATATCTGGTGGGCCTATCCACCATTCCTTCTGGAAGATCCTGTACGGCTGTCCGGGTATCCGACGCACCATTTATGGGTGAGAAGTGGATTGAGGCCTACTTTGCCTATGGAAATTTCGTCATAGCCCGGTTTACCCCTTTCCGGGTATCCGATGCACCATTTATGGGTGAGAAGTGGATTAAGGCCTCCTTTGCCTAGAAAATTTCGTCATAGACCATTTTTCCCATTTCCGGGTATCCTATGCACCATTTATGGGTGAGAAGTGGATTAAGGCTTGTTGCGGTGCATGCAAGATAAATAAACTACCTCTGATTGCGACAACACATGCACCGCAACAGGCCTTAATCCACTTCTCACCCATAAATGGTGTATCGGATTCCCGGAAAGGGACGAAATTTCCCAGGCACAGTGTATTCTCACAGAAAATCAATTTCCCGGTCACGGGGTGTTGCTGCTTGGCTTTGTAAGTGCATTGTTGCTGCAGCAGTGAGCGCTCACTGCAGTCACCGCTCGAGACACTATCACTCTTGTTGTCAACGTCAGATGTCTGGACCGCTCCGCCTGAAACTCAACTGTATTGTCTTGGGCGATAATCCTCGCCGTATTTTCCCGGTCGATATTGAGCGGACGGAGATTGTCGGCGACCTCAAAGAGGTCATCAAAGACAAGAAAAGGCCGGAGTTTGACCATGTTGCCACTGACCGTCTTGAGTTATGGAAGGTGAGTGATCTGATGCCTAGGATCGGATGTTGATCATCTGATATTTTGGAAGGTCGACCTGCCTATCGACGAGATGATTGAGCACAATCTCAACAATCTTACACTTGACCCAACGAAATCCCTATCACCTGTGGATGAAATGGTAGAGATTTTTCCCGACGCTCCTCCGCGCAAGTATCTGCATATAATTATCCAATGCCCGCCTGCCGGTGAGTTGTCCTTCGATATTGCCACCCTTTCCTCACTGATGGTGGTCCGACTTAGTGTCTTCCGGACCGCTCCGCCTGAAACTCAACTGTATTGTCTTCGGCGATGATCCTCGCCATATTTTCCCAGTCGACGTTGAGCGGACGAAGACTGTCGGTGACCTCAAAAATGTTATCAAGGTCGCTAAGAAGCCAGAGTTTGACCATGTTGCCGCCGACCGTCTTGAGCTATGGAAGGTGAGTGATCTGATGCCTACGGTTGAATGTTAATAATCTGATATTTTGGAAGGTCAAGATCAATTTGAACGATATACAGTTACGGAACTCGATCATGGACGGAGGCGTCGAGCTGCGCCCGTTAACCGAGCTGTCCGATGTGTTTGCGGATGGAATAGAGCGCGGATGTATTCATATCGTCGTAAAACATCCTGCCGTTGCACGACACATTCCAGCTGTTGATAGGTGAATTGCTTATCTCAAGAAGGGCGTGGGTACTCCGTCGGCCGGTGCAAAACCATCCACATTCTCTACAAAGCAGGACCAGCAAGAGTACCTTTGCAATTGTCCTCGCAGAGCCACGGACCCTGTTCCCATTACTCTTCTCAAGCCTATCTTCGCTGAGTTCGTGGATGATTGTCAAAAGTATGAACCAACTGTCCATGATAACGACTTTGTTTTGCAACGTTCGGAAAAGATGGCCTCCTTTTATCCCAATGAGCTCACACAGATGAATACATTCCGGCAAGTGCTCCGGGACTATGGTATTATGCTCAATGCTTCTATGGTTGGCTTGACCAGATGTACAACGGAGGGACATCTTTTGTCTACCAACGGACAGTTTGTGCTGATGATAATTGAGGGGAAGAACGAGATCAGAAGTGGCGCTGCTGAACCATTTATGGAGGCGATGCTGTACTACCACAAGTTTATGGAAGACTCGAAGATTGAGATGGCGAGGCTCCGGTCTTTCATTCCATGCATCCATATCATTGTCTTCGGTTAGTTCATTTCACCAGATTAATTGCTGAAGCTGTTTATTGATCACAAATAGGGGCATGCATCGGCTTTTCAGGCTCTGTTTTTACTGAAAAAGTCCAGTCCGATGTCCTGGTCCCTATCATTCCTCTGTTTTGGCATTCAACAGACCTCCATATGCAAGTGATGGCAGCTCGTACTTTCGGGGCTCTCAAAATTGCCGTCAAGAAACTTACAAAACTATACTCCTGTCCAATCCTGTCCCTTGAACCCGAAGATCCATATCTTAAATGTCCTTACCCTCAGAGTTATACCAATTCCACCGGTTTTATTCAGGAATTCCGGTATGATGAGACTCAAATCCTCAGGGATCGACTTATTTTCTTTGGGGAAACCATTGGCAATGCAGCTGGGAGCAAGATATGCATCAAGTTTGTCAGGCACTATTCCCCTCAGGCTCATGAATTCTGTGCCAGCAAGGGGAACACCCCCAAACTTATCACCTACAATTCTTTACCCGGCGGCTGGAATCTGGTGATTATGGATGCCCTTGATATTGATATTGATTGCCTTCCACAATGACCTGGCTCATATTGACTGCTCAGTGAGATAGGTGTTTTGGACCGTCAGCCGCTGAAGGAGACCATCACCTGTCTCATCCGGGAGTTACACAATCACAATGATGGCTATGTGCATGGTGACCTTCAAGATACCAATTTCGTTGTGTGAGATGACAAACACTTCATGCTGCTCAATTTCGATTGGGCCAGACCAATCCAGAAGACGCATTATCCTATGAAGGCTCAACCGTCGTCGATGAGGACCTAGGTATCGGTTCCGTCTACATCTGAGACATCTGCTTGTATCAGGTATGATAGCCTGCCCACTGTTGGCTGAGATGAGGTTCAGTTCTAGGTCCATCCACTGACATCTGCCTGTACTGCGCATGACAGGCTGTCATTCCCCACGCATCATCGCGGACAGTACATGTATGGTGCATCCCTCCGACATGTATATCAACGTCGGATCCGGATCAGCATTTGTATCGACCTTTGTCCCGTATTTCATTACTCGTTTCTGTTGTACCAGTTGCATCTGTAATACTAGTCTCTGACACAAAGTGCACTGACTTGGCCAACATTCCCTAGCCAAGCCCTTCCGAGATCCAACACTTGCACTGGGCATATCTGGAAGCCGCTCCAAGATTATTTGCACATGTACTATGCCGAGGAATATCCTGCTGGGCGCAACTGTTGGCCCTTCCGAAATCAGATGCCTATCATGGGCCAGACCACATAACTAGCTGGCCCTTCGAGAATACAATGCAGTCCCATGCCATATATTCAGCTTAGTCGGCCCTTCCGAGATCAAATGCATATTCTCTTGGGCCCATCCGTAGGCCCATCCAAGACTACCCGGCATATGTACTGGGCCGAACAATAGATGGGACTATATGTTGCCCCTCTGGGCGGGATCATATGCATATCCGGTGGGCCGAAAAAACTTGCTGGGCCCATCCGTGACCCCTACCAAATCAGTACCACATCCATATACTAATGGCTCACCCATCACTACCAGAAATTCCTTCATGGTAGGCCCACCCGACTTGCCTGCATATTGGGGCCCACCCCGATCTGCGTGAATGTGCATGTGCTGGGCCAGTTTGGGCCTTCCGGATATTGGTGCACTGGGCCTAAACCTTACCAGCCGGACTGATCCGCATATTGAATGCAAGGACCAATTGGGCCCTTCCGGATGCTTGTGTACTGAGCCAATCCGCACCTGAATTTGTTATGTGCCCAGGTCTTGCATATTTGACCTATCCGCACACTGAATTGGTATCTACTGGGCCCAAAATAACCAGTTGGCCCATCCACTAACCCTTCCCAGTATTGTGATGGGCCCAGGAATGACTGGTCAGCTCACTTGTGCCCTCTTCCGATACTGTCAATAACCAGCTGGGCTCATCCGTAAGCTATTCCAATATGAGCTGAGCCCATTCGCCAGCCATGCCTGATACTATTATGGGCTCAAAATTTTCCTGTTGGCTCTTCTGACATCAAATTTCTCCAAGAATAAGTAGCTAGGCCCATCTGTACCCCCCTTCCAAGATATATAACTGGGCCCATGTACCTTGTGGCCCATTACAATTGTCCCATTCATGCTATGGCATCCACACTTGGCCCACCCGCTAGCATGGGCGCTATTCCACACTGTGGGCCCAATAGCTATGTTCATATTCATTGACAACACACCTTCCACTGCAGTATACCCTGAGATCACCCCCATTCATGAGCACACTGCTGCTTTCCTTCCTGCTGCCCAAGCAATGGCTGATGAATGTTTTCTCCATCATTACTTGGGGGTATATTATAACATCCCAGCATGTAGCAAGCAACCCCCTTGAAACCCACCTTTCTATTGTGTCACCCGTGGCCGTGTAGTAGGTGTTTTACCCAGCTGGTGAGTACCCTAGTTGTTAGATGGAATATATATATATCTACTCTAGGGAGCACGCTCTAAATGCCGTTCTTGGTGTCCCCGATTTCAAGTACGAGGAAGTTGACACTATCGCCGTTGGTGAGGAAAAGGTTAGGCAGGCAATTGAGAAAGGCGAAATTGAAATTGTATAAGGGCATTAACACTAGTCTTATTACTTACCATCGTCCCCTTCAGCTTCGTCCTGTATATACTATGCAGAGTAGTTAACTGATCTTTCTCTATATCCAACACCATCCATTTCAATTACAATGACCATTACTCAAGATTCCTCCATACAATCCATCAACGAGACCAGAGTCTCCCTCGAAGATATCAAGAGGAGATTTTTCAATGTGCTCAAGAATGTAATGTCATTGCAGCACTCGACACCGGCAGTGGAAAGACTTTCATCAGTATTTTGTTCATCAAATGGATCATGCTACAAGAGTGCTCGTGGCAAAGTCATTGTATTTCTGGTACCCAAGGTAGCTCTGGTCAAACAACAGGCCAACTTTATCACCGCACACACTCCTTTGAGTTCAGTATTGCTTACATAATTGCACAATAATTCATCTAGTTTATCGTTTATACCATTCGTTTATCTCCAAATAAGCAATAACAATATACAGTCTATATGGTGACACCTTGCAGCCCCCCCCGACAGATGAATCCAAATATTCCTGAGGGTCCACAACCACCTCTGTCTTATCCTAGTCAATAAATACAGGTCAGGGACCTCGGGATTACATCCAGGCAGGCCAACAGCCATCACAAATACACATGCTTAAATTCATATATTCCACCAGCCAGCTCTCAACCTTCTGTCTACTACACGTCTGTAACATTCTCCTCGTGCCACGAAGGCAGAATAACAGCCTCCCGCCGGCACATTCTATGCGCATCACAATCACAATCTGATTCTCACCCTGAATCTGACGGACAAGTTTCTGAAGGCATCAGTTATGATGATGCTAATTTTGGGTACATGGATGGGCATGTAGATGCAATTGATGATGCCCCGGTCACATTGAAGCAAAAATGCACCACGGCTGTAAGTGTTGGCTGGTCATAATTTTGCTTCACTGATTTTATTTTCAGGATAACCCCCTTCTAATGTGGTTAAGCGATCATGATGAGTATCTGGCAGAAATGCTTCGGATGGATGGCAGAGGGGACTATACTTCACATACTTGCTGCAAATGTGCCTCTGCTCCTGCTCTGTTCCAATGCGATGACTGTTGTGACATGCAGCTATACTGCGGAGACTGCACTGTTTGCAATCATTTGCGGAGCCCCACTCATTGCATCAAGGTTTCTCTTCATTCATTCTGAGTGCTTGAGTCGGGAGTCAATTTACTTTAGGAGTGGACGGGGTCATTTTTCATGGCTACATCACTCAAGAAGCTCGGTCTGAGGATCCAGCTGGGGCACGCGATTAGTGAAAGCTGTATCCTGCCTCGCAAGTCATCCAATGACAACTTCCTACTCATCGATACAAATGGAATCCACAAGATGGCAGTCGACTTTTGTGCCTGTGAGACATCCCAGACTCATACAAAACAACTCTTGCGCATGGGATGGTTCCCCTCGACAACTGTGGATCCAAGGACAGCAGCAACCTTCTGGCTATTGCACCATTACCATATCTTGTCTTTTGAGTCCAAGGCATCTGCATATGAATTCTATCACTCGCTTGTCCGTATATCTGACAATGTTGGTTTAATTAAGAAGGTTGGCGTTTTGCTGGGTTGATCTTACATGGACTAAACTAACTCTAATTCAGGATCACTATGAATCCTTCATGTGTATGGTTCGCAAGTGGCAACACCTGAAACTGTTGAAACATTTTGGTCATGGTGTCTTGTTACTTAAGGGTCTTATATGAAAGTTGTGTATAATGACAACACAATTATACACGGTGAAGACTTCTTGCCAGTCCTGAAGTCCACAGTCTCCGACTTTTCTACTTCGTGGGAGGTAACGTGGTGAGTTCTTGGGAGGATTTAGTTTGTTGTCCTCTTCTTGTGTAGTCTTATACGAAGTTGTTGTGGAATGTTCTGTGTTCTGGATAAATTCGTTAGGTTTGTTTCAGCCTAGTAGGTCGTGTTTCAACCTATGAAAGTCTGTTTCAACTTTGTCATCCTTAGATGTGTCTCACTTTCCGTTGAAAGGGAGAGTCTTATGAATACACGTAAAGCTTAGAATGAGAGCTGTTCAATGGTTATATAGTCAACCCCTGTAAGGTAGTATATAACCTAGAGTAGAATAACGATAATGAAAGTTATATAGTCGACCCCTGTAAGGTAGTATATAACTTTAGAATAGATAATGATATCTTAGATTACCTCAAGGCACTTATATTGGCCTGCACTTTAAGTCTTAGTGGTCTCACACGGTTTGAGATAAGAGTCAAGTGGGAGGATTGTATTTCATGGGTGAAAATGGGGTCCTTTTATACCTTTTGGGAACCCCCTTACTAAGCATGATTAATCAGATGGATTGGTAAGAATGTGGCTTACAAACCAGGTGATGAATCAGCTTATTACTAAGTACATTACAAATACAGTGTAATCTTACAAAGAAATTAGAAACCATGACAAACCATGACTAAATATGTTGAGTCATGTTAAATAATGTTACAAACCAGAATATTTCCCAGTCACATGATGTGATGACAAATAAAAGCTGGTGGCTGAAAGAAGCCAAATACAAATAAACAGTCAGAAATAAATAGAGATACAAAACTTGGTGGCTGAAAGAAGCCAAATAAAAATAAACAATGAGAAATAAACAGAAGGTCACATGCTTGATACAAATACAAGGTAAAATAAGCCTGTAAAGTGAGAAATAAAATACAAGACAATGAAATAAAGGAAAAATAGAGAGGTAACTTAGTGACAAAGGGCTAGACAGTCTCTCATATCTTCCTTATCACTCTCTATATATATCTGACATGGTATGAATCACATACCATGCATGACAACGGTCACGATCCTGTCGGTGTGAGTGGTACCAAAGAGGGCGAATGCGCTGTGCTCTGTCTGGCTTGCCCACAGCCTGGCAAAAATATGCCCCCTGACTGGAAAGAGGTGCCAAAATACAAACAGTGAGCCTCTTGTCATTTTCAAACATAAAGCAACGCGCTAATCGTACATAGATGGCTGTATTCATTGTTCATGGCTATTGATGCCAATTTTCGATTGAAAAGACGGGATATATCCAGTGATGAAGCAGACCCAAGTCTCTCAAAGGGATGGTCATACTTTGTGGAAGAGGAGAAGTTCAAATCACATCTCAAGGAGCATTGTCCGAGACACAGGAGGTATGTAAACAGTCTGGTCCAAGATGTCGCTAACAGTACCTTCCCAGAAAAGTTCCTGCTCGAACCATAATGCCGTGAATATGGCTGAGACAAAGCTATCACAGGGCCTTGCAGCTAATGGAGTAGGGACAGTTGATTGCGCGCGACATAACTTCAAGTGCCCAAATGGCGTTGGGGACCTACAAAAAGGGGAAAAGTGCATGTGTCACTTGTGAAGCTGCTTTGACTAATTCAAATTTCAGGTACATTAACATGGACTACCTGTTTTTCTCTACACTTCGCAACAACTGTCTCGACGTTCTGAACGTATTGTATGACATTGTGTGTCAATGGCACAAGAATCTATGGAGTCGCTACCCGAGTCACATCATATATCCTATTTGCACATTTTTATTCGGTTCTTCATCCCCAAGTTCCACCTTCCAGCACATATCAAGAAGTGTCAGACAATGTTCTCTTTCAATTTCACGCATTTTGTGGGTCATACAGATGGGGAGGCGCCCGAGCGTGGTTGGTCCAACATAAATCTGGTCGCATCAAGTACAAAGGCAATGGGACCTGGCTGTTGTAGGGACACATTAGATGATCATTTTGGGGATTGGAACTGGAAAAAAGTTGTTGGCTTAGGTATGTGATTTACGCTCACTCATTATTCTTGTTTGGTTAATAATTATGGGGTCAGGCGCATATCCCATCCATAAAATGCAGGAAGCTGTCATTGAGAAGGCTGATTACGAGGCTGCATTCTAGGAGTTCAATGCTGCGATTTCCTCCGACCACAGGTCAGCATGGACAGTGGAGATGGAGAAATGGGAGGAAAACCCCAATGACACATCAGTCACTAACACCCTCGAGTCCAAGTCAATCCGTAAGCTTTAATTTACTATTCAAATTATATCTACTGAAGTGTCTATTATCCAGAAATCATGCAAGCTGCAGCCCATCTGAAACTTGTGGAGATGGAAGCTGAAGAACTGGCTCATGGGATTGACCTATCTCTGCACCCCGACATCTCACCAAGTGTACTTATCGTGTTGGGATTAGACCTCGAAGAGGAAGAGTAAGTGGCTTTACCTAAACGCTACCAGGTGAAGACAACTAACACCTGGGACAGACATCGTGTGAGAGCAGTATCCGAAGGAATGGGTCTCCACGTTTCTGATATACAGAAAGGCACACTTGTGTGAATGAGGAATGTCCTGTGTCAGTAAGATCCAAATGTGGAGAAGTGCACAGGTTCTGTACATACCTGCAGTACAGATTCTCACTACTACTGTGGTTTCCGACCCTCATCAGCCGTTTGAGAATGCTGTGGATATCCACCTGTGGTTGCCATCTAGTCTGAAAGGCAAACCATGTGATTCCTGACTTCAAGCTTATGAATTGGATTTGCGGTATGCCCAGGCCCATGATGCGCTCGAAGAGCTTCGACAGTGCCTTCGCGTGCACTGTTCTATGCTTACATTCAAGCGGGAGTGGGTTCATGGTCAAGGCTCCAACACTCGTGCTTAGAATGCACTTGCTCATGTGCACGGGCGACAAGTGGCATGTACAAAGAGATACAGGGTTGCGTGGGAGGCACTGAAGACCCTGGCACCCCTCTTGAAGAAAGTGGGATGGCGAGGATGGCTGCAAGACCTGAAGGATGAAGATGTGAAACCATTAGTGGACCCTTTCAGTAGAGAGACCAAAGGCCGCCGCCGCCTGACGTGGATCTGGATGATGACAGGTGTAGATACAGGTAGTGATGGCGGCGACGTGGATGGTTAGTTTTTGCTTGATTTTATAAGCTGTTACTGACAACGGTCTCTGAATCTTCTGCTAGGAGTTCGCGTGGAATGGTGCAAGTCCAGAGCAAGAGCAATGCACTGGGCGGAGGAGATGCGAAGGGTGCTACAGTTTTTCGATTGGCAAGCCAACTGGTGGGATGAGCAGAAGGACCAGCTCATCTGTGAGACAGCAGCTCAATGTGAGGGCTTGGTAGCATATGCTCACAAACAGGCACATATCCGATGTCAGCTCGCATCGCGCTTTAGAGTGCTGTGGACCCCCTACCTTCCCCAGCTATCCCCTCTGACCTCGAGCCTCATATCAACCGCCGTACCATCACCAGACAACATGCAATTCCCCGACCTCATGCTACCTGTTTCATGTGCCTAGTGTAGTCAACCTTCTGTAGTGTAATGAATCTTCTATTGTGCCTAGCACTTCGTTGCAATGAACTGTCTTGATATTTTAGTTGCCGGGGAATAAGAATATGTAGTTGCTGAAGAACGAGAATATATAATTGCAGGATGATAGGAACACTACATATACGGACAGCTAGTGTACTGAGGGGCCAGGCTACTACTAGGGAGGCAGCTCTGATGGTTAGCACATTCTGATGCATTATAGACAGGCTAACAAGCATTGTTAATGCAATACAGTTGTGTGGTAAGTACCAGATATAATGCATTATGCCTACAGGGACTTGTGCTACATCCCCCTTAGTGAGCATTCTCATTTTCCAATATTTATGTTGTGAATTACATAGCTATTGAAGGCTTTTTTGTGGAAAGCAGTGTTCGCATTACTCATCAAAATTAAATTAGCATGCGAGTTTGCGACAATGTTGCGATATTGCACCATCACTGCCTGCAAGGACTGGTAGCGTCAAGTGCATACATTTTCCAAATGTTCTTATTTTTCTTTTGTTATATTTTGACTATAAGTTAATTAATGACTTTTGATAGAGACTTGGCAAGTAGATAAAATTTAAAGCTATGTATACATGAACTCTCACAAGTGGTGTGGCCCATGAATGAAATGAACTTCAATATTTTACTAGAGGTTGGGCGTGGTTGAGAGGTGCATGTACTAGCACTGTTGGTCAGTATATGATTGTAGCTGAATTGTTTTGACTAAAATCGGTGTATGTGATTCTGGAGGCAGTGAAGGTACAACAATTCAGATGGTGAGTCTGAACAATATTGGGTCTTGCAGAACCTAGCTGCTATTCGACCCTAAAGGGTTTCTGGACCAGGCTCAAGGCTCAGAGGAGAGGAAATATCATGAAAACTTGCTCAGTACTCTGCATCAGCAAAACCCTTGTGTGATTTGAGGCAATGTGCAGTACCACACAGTGCCATACAGTGACTGCAGCATCACAGTGAAGTCCCCCCCTGTGCAGTGGAGCCACAGCGCCACACAGTGCTGCCAAATTGAGTCAAGCTGTGCAGGAACTCATTTGTTGCTACCTGAAATATCTCATGATTGCTATATATAGCACTACACAGAGTTGTACAATCCTTCAAATACTGCCTGTTACTATGCAAGTCAGATGGTTTAGATGTGTTCTTGCATGCCACAAGCGGTATCAAGTGCAATATGAAAATATCAGCATTGAAGCAAGGGTAATACAGTAGTAGATATGATGTGATCAGTATGGGATGTAAGGGCTAGTGCATATTAATCAAGTTCAACCACCCAGTTGGAATCGCTCTCGAGGTCTTGAGGCTCATCATCAACAACAACCCCAGTCCTGTCTCGATGATCAATAGTACTAGTTTAAATAACACAGGAACACATACATGCCAGCCAGAGCCCAAGATCGGAGTGCTTCATTGAGCTTCTCACTGTGATATTCGTCATCTGCAACCTGCTTGAGCATATTTGTTAGTTTACGGTACACCTTTTCAGAATCTCCCAAAGCTGTTTGCTTCGTGTAAAAAAATACCTGCTTAAAGACAGCAATTTTGTGCCTCCCAAGCCACGATCAATTCCGTGACTAGTTCCAAGCATATACCAGTATCACTAAGGGCTTCCTCATGTGCAGGGAATGGGTCTGCAGTGGCAAGATGCAACCTGAAACAGGCCTTTGTGTAATTTAGCAGTTTGACCCAAAGATCCGGAAAGAAACCAAGAGTCTTCTGTTTTGCAACAACAGTACTGCCCTGTACATTCTTGGCTGCCTTTGTGTGGCGCCCAACACTGGTGTGTTGGACTTCTGAATCAACCTTCATGTCACCATCAGAGTCCACACCTGCTTGATGATCGTTGTTTGACCAGAGAGTGCTAGTGTGAGCGCGCTTGGTGTTTGGCTGTTTGACCATGAAGCCAGAATGGTGCACTGAATGCAAGTATGTCAGTGATGGAGACCAAATATGATGATTGGTCTTCTGATGCCATTTAATGACATCATAATCCACATTAGGCTGATGAACATGATTAATCCAAGCTGAGTGTATCATATGGTAGCTACTTACCACTTCCACTTCCACTATTGCATTGGAATGAGCTTGTTTGCTAGCACCATGCAATCGACTAGTTTGTGGTTGGCTCTGCTCACCGCAATCTTTACGCCTATCTTGCCTGTCATCCTTTCGAGATGCATGTCCAAGGTGATCGACCCATTGTTCTGCCTGACCTTGACGTCGCTGGGTGTGGCCGATATCCTCATTCTCATCTGCAGATCTGTCAAGTGAGAATTCAACAGGTGGAGAGGTACACATTTTGTCATTGCTCAGAGGGAACTTGTCATCATTGACCATGTTTAACCCACCATCAACCTCGGACATATCCTTGTTGCTGTGATGTTTGGTTTCTTCATTTTCCGATACAGCAACAGGTCGCAAGATGGAGGAAGCGCTGTCTGGAAAAGCTCGACCTGCCCCCAACAATTTTTTGTGAACAGGTGGCTTCAGGTGTGGGATGGTAGGCTGTGCCTCATGGATAGCGGGTGCACATATGACAGGTGGTTCAACAGCAGGCCTTCTTGCAACCTCTGTGTGAGTATGGGAGCGTGGTCTATTCTGCTGAATACGAGATTTTAGACACTCAGGGTGCTCTTCCAACCACAAACACTGCAAACTGACATAACCCGGAGGAATGGGGTTCTTCTGTAACCCAAACCTTTCACCAGGCTCTGCAACATGCAGAGAAGGTGCGAAACCTGCATCATCTGATTGATCTGGTATTGTAACTGCTGGTACAGCCTGTGGAATATTAAGTGTAAGGGAATGTGTAGCTTCACATTGTAGAACTTACTGATTTTTTACCTTTCTTACAAGTTCTCTTTTTTACTGGAGATGGCACCATGATCTTCTCCAGCTCTCCATCAGGTATAACAAACTGTCGTCCCTTGCCAGTGCATCTTCCTGGTTCATCAATCACAGCTTCTCCAGCCCTCCTTAACTGAGAGGCTGCTCCACCTTTTCCAGCATTGGGATGACAGGTATGCCAACAAGGCTCCAAAGGTGAGTCAACCTCAGGCTTGACAAGTGGAGTTGCGATCTCCGAGTCGTAATCACTCAGGTTGAGTGCTGAGGAATCAGATAGCACCACTCGCAGACACTTCGACTTGCCCATGGTTGGTGGAGGAAACAATGGCAAAGACAGATGGCTGAACTCACTAAATAAACTAAGTCCCATGTTATGAGGTAAAAGCAACATGTAGACTTATAATTGAATCTACCTATTACTACTAAGTCCACTTAATGCCATAATAATACTCCTGTAGACACCTGTATGCTTGTGAACTGTTTCAACTATAGACACATCATTCTATTGCATTACAGTGGCTCAAAAAAGTGTCTTAATGTTTCTGACTTTTCATGTAATTGCTTTATTATGAGCCAGGGTGTGGGACTATTACTACGCTGTAGGGAGGTGTCATAATACTATACTTCTCAGCCTCATTTATGCTCCCTGTAGCATGGGAATCTGATGTCATCATGTGCAGATATGGCTATTTGAATTTGGTGACTCATTGAGACACTTTTTTGACTTTCAGTTTGATCAACACAATCTCTATAATTATGATACTTTATGTGACCTCCTGTTGCTCTAATCACTTCTGCCACTCCTCTAGCCATGCTATCTATCAATTTTGAATATTTCTTCTTAGTACTCCTTTCTCACTCTGCTGCAACTCTGTCCTACAGCTGAAATAGCCCCTATGATGAATTTTGATAGGCTGCAAGCAATTTCTTAGATATTTTTCAGTAATATTCAATAGGGCTAATGTATGGGGACTGTGCTATACATGATAGAACATTGATATTATGGTCTTTGAGCTGCTAGTGACTGACTTGAAATCTTACTTCACATGAATGAAGATCTCACATTTACCATATTCTAACTGGGCAGGCCACTAATGCTACTCAGGCCACCTAATTCATCAATTCATCATCTCCAGCACTGTTTCCACTCAAACCATTAACAATACTTGCAAGGCAACAAATATTAAAGTTACAATCAATCAGAAGAGGATTCTCCTATCCCTAGCCTATAGAAATAGTAAACTTCAGCTTTAAAGACCAGTACTGGACTGAAAGAGGATTGGAAGAGAATTATATTATGAGATAAGACCAAGATAAATATAATGAAGTCAGATGGCTGGGAATACATCCATAAAATGACAGGTGAACCACTAAAAAAAAAAATTGTGTAAACTCTCAAGTGTGGAGTAACAAACATAGAGGTATAGAGCTATAGAGATTCAATAGAGTGTATATTCTCTGTGTGAAGTGAAGTGAAGAACTAATACAGAGTGGTACATCTCTATTTTAGATGAGAGTCTGCTAAGACATACAGAAATCATATATTAATGAGGAAGATATCATGTTGCAATAAAATAATAATCCTAAGTATATGTCCAAGTCAGTCACTAGCAGCTCAAAGACCATAATATCAATGTTCTATCATCATGTATAGCACAGTCCCCATACATTAGCCCTATTGAATATTACTGAAAAATATCTAAGAAATTGCTTGCAGCCTATCAAAATTCATCATAGGGGCTATTTCAGCTGTAGGACAGAGTTGCAGCAGAGTGAGAAAGGAGTACTAAGAAGAAATATTCAAAATTGATAGATAGCATGGCTAGAGGAGTGGCAGAAGTGATTAGAGCAACAGGAGGTCACATAAAGTATCATAATTATAGAGATTGTGTTGATCAAACTGAAAGTCAAAAAAGTGTCTCAATGAGTCACCAAATTCAAATAGCCATATCTGCACATGATGACATCAGATTCCCATGCTACAGGGAGCATAAATGAGGCTGAGAAGTATAGTATTATGACACCTCCCTACAGCGTAGTAATAGTCCCACACCCTGGCTCATAATAAAGCAATTACATGAAAAGTCAGAAACATTAAGACACTTTTTTGAGCCACTGTATGTCCTCTACTATTAATGACCAAGCCTCTATAGCAACACCAACTGTAGCTGTTCCTGTGTCATCCGGCCCACTCAATGCTGTGACACCTGCTTCTCCCTCCTGAGCCAAAAAAGTACATATACCCAGCCCTGAACATATCTTCCCCCAGACCCCTGTTATTCATCCACCTATTGGAAAATCAGTACAATGTATTCCAATGTCAACTGGAACCCCTAGAGCTATTGGTGCTCTTCCAAAATACATACCCTCCAAGGCTGGAGGGCTCATGCAACACTTGATCACACCAAATATCTCAGAGTCATGCCATAGCCTTGTTGCACATGTGTCCGCCTTCCAAACAAACAAAGATTATGATGATAGCGACACAAGTACTACTGGTGATGTAAATTATACATCTATTCATACTTATGGTATACTATGAGTGCTGATATTGCCTAGAAATCCACTGACTCCACTGAAGAAGCTAGAGCCAGGCTAGTTTTGGATGCCTCCAGAGCACAGCGGGATGTTTGTCTTGCAGCAAAAAAACTTGCAGACTCCATTATCAAAGAGAATGAAGCACTTGGGAGGCTATACAGGTTCCAAGCAGACGAAGCTCAGAAACAGCTCATGGACGCTAATTTCGGCATCAGTTACATACACCATTCCATCTGCAAAAGCAGTGTCACATGATCGGATAATAATTTGAAGCCCTGAAAACGTTATCGCACATCTGATGATGGTTGAGTTCATGACTTGGATGAACTACTGGTACCAGTCAATCGCTTGGGTAAGCAACTTTAAATTGTACAGTAACTCTTCAATTCACATATTCCACAAGATGATTCTCTGACACTTGGATGCCAGCCCACTCATGACTCGGAGGCTCCTGTAGATAACAGTTTATAATGTGATCTTCCTGTTGTATTACATTGTACCTATGATACTGTGTCAACCCCCTGTGGCCTCCAATTTGAGTCTCTTTTGAATCTGTACTAGAGGCTGTGATAGTGACAGCTTAATGTATTTCTCTAAGTCTTGCACAATCACTATCAGTAAGAATGATTTATTGGACATGAAGTATACTACATATGCTACCTAGTACAGAGCACCTGAGTGGCACTGCAGACCACTGTGTCTGCTACATGCCGCTATATGCCGCTGTGTACCACTGTGGAGTGCTGTATTTCAGGTTTGAATTCTGCTCTTAGGCTCAAAGTCCCAGCTGTCCCCATAATGCATGGGCTTTCTACTATAGTGATACTCAAAATAGGTTTTGAAAACTCGCTTAACACACTTAACATGCTTTGAACTTTCAGCTAGAAGCATTTCAGAGAGTTCAGCTGTTGAAGGTCAGCCTAGCATGGTAAGCAGAGCTTGAAATCTTCATGCCTCCTGCTCGTTGTTCTGCACAACTCAGAGCAAACTTTTTTGTTCATTTGCCCATAATGGACGACGACGATGACATAACATCTGATGGACCGCCTTGCTCAAAAACACCTAGGAAATCAACTGGACCCCAGTTCACTGTTCAGTGGCACAACGATCATGGACTTACTGATGTGCTAGTGAATTATCTGAGTACTCACCTGGCCGATTGCAGGATTTTGTTTTATTCAGATGGAAAGAAATCCATGGCTGCTACTGGTGCCGATAGCCCCTTGGGCTCAGACAAGGGGCAAATTTACGGTGGTCTCGCCAAGATCATCTTTACAGATCACCCCAAGTATGGTGCTGCATATTCATCTAATCCCAAAAAATTTCGTGACGCTGTTGGCAGTCACATCACCACACAAGTCCTTTTGTTTTTTTTGTTCTACTAATAAAAATACTAAATTTTATGCAGTCTCAGGAACAAATACAAGAAGGTCAAAGTGTCCTTTGGCAGCACAGGCGCTGGGGTGATGCCAACTGAAGGGAGTCAGGCAAAGAACCTGTTGGGTGAGTCCTCAGTCTCAATTACTTGGTTATTGGCTGATTGATTCTGTAGATGCAGCGCTTTTGGAGCTGCCGTGGTACAAGGATCTTGATACCATCTGGCACTCCAATCCTTTGATGGCCATGACCATACACTCATCAAAACCGGGCATTGATCACGCCGGCGCCCTGTATTCCCTTGTTCAGTCAAACAGTGGGGCCGGTTCCTCTACATACTTTGGCACCACTCAGCAGTCCTCCCATCCCCCCAATGTTCAGCCATTGCATCCCCCAAACTTATCATATCCTGCGCCCCTGCACCACGCCCTCCCTGTACCTCCTAACACCAATATACTTACTGGCAGCCAGTATCCACCAGCGGTGCTGCAACAACCCCCTCCTGCTCCATCCTATCCCCCTCCTGAAGTCCATCTTCCCGGCCTCTCGTCAGATGACGATGAGGCCAAAAATAATTTTTTATTTGATAGGCGCCTGGGGGATCCTGAGCCCCTTCAGTGACAAATTCCATATTATATGGGCCACCCGACCTCCATAATATCCCATATGAGACGGGCCAGCGGATCATGGGCCCATGTTGTGTATATTCTTGATGATGACGGATGGGCTGGGACACATATTATTCCGATGGAGACGGGTGGGCCCATGTATGCCAATGATATATATATCCTTGATGTTGACGGATGGGCCAGGGGAATATGATCATTCATGGAGATGGGTGGGCCCATCTGGGTAATATGTAGAGTAGGATATTATAGACAGCTGGGCTGAAGAGAGATGTAAGGGAAATATTGTTATATAGACGGGCGGGCCGACGGGGGTGTATTACATATATGGGTGGGCCGAGGTAGGGGAATATTACATAGACGGGTGGGCTGACATGGGGTGTATTACATATACAAGTGGGCCAACGTGAAAAGTATTACATATACAGGTGGGTCGACGAAAGGGATATCAAATAGATGGGTGGGCCGAGGGTGTGATAAAATATTTATTACATAGACAGGTGGGCTGAGGTGGGGTATAATTATATAGACGGGTGGGCCAACATAGGATGTATTACATAGACGGGTGGGCCGAGGTGGGAGATAATGCATAGATGGGTGGGCTGATGTAGGGGAATTGTACATATATGGGTGAGCCTAGATATGTTCCATCAAGACATACAGCTGATGTAGCCACCAGCGAATCAAACACGTAGGATACATGTACACTATGAGTGCATATACCTACCATCGACCACCAAATCTAAACCCCTAAGCACAAAAACATGAATCGACCATGTGTGGCATTGACCAATAATCGAGGACTGAAGTGGAAAAACCCCACACCTGAACCCTGGTGTGCAACATATCCTATTTATAAGCATGGACACCAGAAGCACAACACTCACAAAAATATATATGTCAAATTTTCAGTGCCAAACCCCAAACCGAGATGTACCAACCCCTGAATCCCGAAACCTGAGACTGCCAGGTCTCAGGTTTCGGGGTTCAGGGGTCCTGGAACTCGGAACTTGGGGAAATTTGGGGAGATCAATAAAATTTGATTTACAATCAAGTTGATTGACAAACACATTGACTTACCCATGTTTGAAATATATTTTGTTTACAAATACCGAGTTCCGAGTTCCGGACTCCCGAACCCTGAAACCCGAGACCTGGCAGTCTCGTGTTTTGGGGGTCTGGAACTCAGAACTTGTGGAAATTTGGGGAGATCCATAAAATTTGATTTACAATCGAGTTTATTGACAAACACATTGACTTACCCATGTTTGAAATATATTTTGTTCTACATACCGAGTTCCAAGTTCCCGAACCCCGAAACCCAAGACCCGGCAGTCTCAGGGTTCAGGGGTCTGGAACTCGGAACTTGGGGAAATTTGGGGAGATCAATAAAATTTGATTTACAATCGAGTTTATTGACAAACACATTGACTTACCCATGTTTGAAATATATTTTGTTCTACATGCCGAGTTCCGAGTTACGGACCCCAAAACCCGAGACCCGGCAGTCTGGGTGTTCCGGGGTCTGGAACTCAGAACTCAGTATGTAGAACAAAATATATTTCAAACATGGGTAAGTCAATGTGTTTGTCAATAAACTTGATTGTAAATCAAATTTTATTGATCTCCCAAATTTCCACAGATTCCGAGTTCCAGACCGCTGAACCCTGAGACTGCCGGGTCTCAGGTTCCAGGGTTCCGGGGTCCAGAACTCGGAACTCGGTATGTAGAACAAAATATATTTCAAACATGGGTAAGTCAATGTGTTTGTCAATAAACTCGATTGTAAATCAAATTTTATTGATCTCCCCAAATTTCCCGAGTTCTTACCAACACCCAAACCCCTGAATTGTGGACTGCCGGGTTTCAGGGGTCCCAGAACTCGGAACTCGGAACTTGGGAAATTTGGGGAGATCAATAAAATTTGATTTACAATCAAGTTGATTGACAAACACATTGACTTACCCATGTTTGAAATATATTTTTGTTGTCTCACATACCGAGTTCCGAGTTCCGCTCCCAAAACCCAGAAATCGAAACTCGGGACTTGACATTTCATATGCAACATCTTTCAAAAATGTTTAAATCAACCTTCCATATATCCATACACATTTTACCAACCCCTGAACCCTGAAATTGTGGACTGCTGGGTTTTGGGGTTCGGGGGTCCCGGAACTCGGAACTCAGGATGTGAGACAATAAAAATATATTTCGGGGCTTGGGGGTTAGTAAAATGTTTATAGATATACATAGGTTCATATAAACATGTCTGAAAAATGATGTTCATCTCAAATGTCAAATCCTGAGTTCCGGGTTTCAGGTTTCGGGACTCGGCACCTGGCACCTGGCACTCGGGGTTCGGCACTGAAAATTTGACATAACTCTGGGTTTTGGGACTCTGGGCTTCAGGACTCAGCACTCCCAAAACCCAGAAATCGAAACTCGGGACTTGACATTTCATATGCAACATCTTTCAAAAATGTTTAAATCAACCTTCCATATCCATACACATTTTATCAACCCCCGAACCCCGAAATTGTGGACTGCTGGGTTTCGGGTTTCTGGGTTCGGGGGTCCCGGAACTCGGGACTCAATATGTGGGACTGGACAAAGATATTTGTCAGGGTTCGGGGGTTAGTAAAATGTTTATGGATATATGTAGGCAGATTCAAACATGTCTGAAAAATGTGTTTCATTTCAAATGTCAAGTCCTGAGTTCTGGGTTTTGGGACTTGGCACCCGGCACTCGGGGTTCGGCACTGTGAAAATTTGACATTCGGGTGTTAGGGTGTTCGTGTTTTGGGTGATATCTACCTCAATCTACAGTTTCTAGTTCTGGATATTGGAACTCAATGATTGAATCATTCAATTGTGGCATAGGTGACATGCATTGAAAAAGATTTATGTACATCTATCACTGAGCAATTATGTAGCCATTTCAACCTTCTCACCAGGACAATCAACCTTCACCTCAACCTCCATCTCCTCATCAGAAGAATCATATTCTGGCAGGAGGTTGCCTGGTTCATCTGGGACCACAATTTCACCGGAAAGCCCAAGACCTGAAAATATGTATGCAACATTTCCATTTTTCACTTGTTGCACTGATCACTGAGTTTCAAGTGCTGAAACCTGAAACTCAAAACCGGGTGTGCAACATGTTCATTGTTCATTTACATTACACAGATCATTGAGTGCTGAGGGCCGAATCCTGAAACCCAAAGCCCAAAGCCCAAAAACATGTATGCCACATGCCCATCTACTCATTGCACAAATTACCAAGTGCCGAGTGCCAAAACCCGGTACTTCAAATGGACATGAATTCTATATTTGTATGTATTATCCATTGGTGTAGGGTTCAAATAACTTGGGAATTGTATTTGTCAGTGCTCGGTACTCAGTACTCAGTAGTTGGTAGTTGGTAGTTGGTAGTTGGTAGTTGGTGGTTGGTGGTTGGTAGTCAATATAGGCAAATGATAATGAGAAATAAAAGTTGTTATTACGCTTAACTTCCTTACCGAAGGTTGTAGTCCGAGTCTAGGGGAGTGTATTGGTAGTCTTTTCTTGTCCATCAGTTATCATTTGACTGAGATATAAGCTAAAGAAATCTGAAACATCGGTGATAATGAAAAATGAAAGTTATTTGTAATGATATTTTCGGCCTGAATCATATATAAATGTGACTTTGTATAAAAGATGTCTATTGTCACTCTCCACACATATGTCATTTTGCCTATCATTACATCAATCCTTCGTGAATCTTTCTAAGCTTTTAAGCTATTATAATGGATGTATATGGGTGTTATTCCAGGTCTCTGATCACATCACAGGCTTGTTATGTTGTATATCTCGACATAATGTGCAAGTCTCGCTATTAATATTCATTCTTTTATCTTTAGACTCACTTACTGCACACATGTATTTCATTTGTCATTATTGATGTTTTGGATTTCTTTAGCTTATATCTTGGTCACATGGTAACCAATGGATGAGAAAAGACTACAAATAAACTCACCTAGGCTTGGACTACAACCTTCATTAAGCTGACTACTGATTCCTGGATACCGAGTATCACAACCAAATACTGAGTACCAATTACCATGTACCGAGTACTGCGTAATGAGTAACAAGATAACCAATTGACAAGAAAAGACTACCACTACACTCACCTGGACTTGGACTACAACCTTCGGTAAGGAAGTTAAGCATAATCACAACTTTCATTTTTTTCATTATTGCTGATGTTTTGCCGAATGACAAGGAAAGACTACCAAGACACTCACCTTGACGTGGACTACAACTGTCATTTTTCATTATCATTTGCCTATATTGACTACCTGAGTCTCGAGTACCGACCACTGACCACCAATCACCAATCAACGAGTACCAATCACCGAGTACCAAGTACCAAGTACCAAGCACCAAGTACTGAGTACTGACAAATACAATTCCCAAGTTATTTGAGCCCTACACCAATGGATAATACATACAAATACAATTTGTGTCCATTTGAAGTACCGGGTTTCAGGTTTCGACACTTGACACTTGGTGATTTGTGCAATGAGTGAAAAATGGACATGACCCGAAGCACTCGGAACTCGATGATTTGTGTAATGTAAATGAAAAATAAACATGTTGCATGCCGGGTTTCAAATTTCGGGTTTCAGCACTCAAAACTCAGTGATTTGTGAAGTGAGTGAAAAATGGACATGTTGTGCACATATTTTCAGGGTTCAGGTTTCAGCCCTCGGCCCTCGGAACTCGATGACTTGTGTAATATAATTGAACAATGGACATGTTGCACACCTGGTTTTGAGTTTCAGGTTTCTGCACTCAAAACTCGGTGATTTGTGCAACAAGTGAAAAATGGACATGTTGCATACATATTTTCGGGTCTCGGGTCTCGGCACTTGGAACTCGATGATTTGTGTAATGTAAATGAAAAATCAACATGTTGCACGCCGGGTTTTGAGTTTCAGGTTTCAGCACTCAAAACTCAGTGATTTGTGCAACAAGTAAAAAATGGACATGTTGCGCACATATTTTCGGGGTTCGGCCCTCGGAACTCGATGATTTGTGTAATGTAAATGAAAAATCAACATGTTGCACGCCAGGTTTTGAGTTTCAGGTTTCAGCACTCAAAACTTGGTGATTTGTGCAACAAGTGAAAAATGGACATGTTGCATACATATGTTTGGGTCTCGGGTTTGAAAAATAGCATAATAACAACTTTCATGTTTTCATTATCATTTGCCTATATTGACTACTGAGTCTGATAAGGGACCCCTTGGATGATCCATTGCTCAATGACATACTACCTGATTGGAAGTGTGCTGGTTATCAGATATTCATTTGTTGACTCCCGGGTCCCGGAACTCGGAAGTCAGTACAGTTGACCCAAATTTGGGTGGTCAGAACTTGGTGTCTCATAGGGCAACACAAGCTTCACACCCCAGATTCCAAATTCTGCAAGACAACCTGTGCACCATCAAAGGCCATGTCAGGAGATCACCTGCTGCTCCGGGAACTTGGTAACTTTAATTTATTACCTCCTCTGAGTATGGTTGACCCAAAGGTTGGTAATTGGAACTTGGCTTCTCATAGGGCAACACAAGCTTCTCACCCTGGATTCCAAAATTTGCAAGACAATCTGAGCACCATCAAAGGCCATGTCAGGAGATCACCTGCTGCTCCGGGAACTTGGTAACTTTGATTTATTACCTCCTCTGATTTGGTTGATGTACAACTACCTCAGCTCCATCATGTCTACAATTATGATACACATGGGCCCACCCATCTATATTTTATACCACTCTTGGCCCACCCGTCTAATACAACATCCTCAGCCCACCCGTCTAATTAATATGTGTCTGGGCCCACCCATCTAATACAATATTTTATAATACCCTCGGCCCACCCGTCTAATTTAATATATGTCTGGGCCCACCCGTGAATGTGATAACAAGTACCTAACCATCTATCTCATACACATCTACCTTAATACACCCATCTGCATAATATCCAACTACCTTGGCCCACCCATCTACCTAATATTCATGTACATCGGCCCACTCATCTACTCTATATATTTCCTGCATGGGCCCACCCGCCTCCATCGGGAATAATTTGCCTCCCGGCCCATCTGTCATAGTCGAGGATATTTTTATCATGGGCCCATGGTCCACTGGCCCATATCATACGGGATATTATGCACATCTGTTCCCTCGTATTATATGGAGATAGGTCACTGTAATATGTGGGATCCTGCCGAGGACAATGACATGATACTCGATGATGCTTCCCCCATTGCGGGGAAGAAGCGTCAGCTCCCCTCAATGCCATCTCCTCCTCCCAATGTTCCAGAGCTGTTTGAGGTACCAGCAAAAACTCCAGCATCGGCATACAACAACCGTTTGGCATTTAGGGCGCAGAAGCCCTCAAGCCATGGGAGCCAATGCAGACTGCTGTTGGAGATGTCACGCAGCGCGTCAACACCATCGACGACACGCAACACTACCTCATCATTGGACTTCCACATGTCCCCGACACCTACACCTGAGACCTCCCTGCCAAATAGCACCGGCAGCTCGAAGAAGAAGAAGGCGAAGTTGGACGTGTCACAGCAGGTGGGACAGGTGAGAGACGAGATTGAGAGCATGCACTCGGACACGATGTCATGCCATGACAGCAAACACCTTCGCTTCCTTGCAAAGCTCGAGGTTAAAAGCGAGCATAGTCATGACACTAAAAAGTATGAGTGGCTTCGTTCCAGCTGCAAGCATGAGGCCTCCCAAGCCACTGTCACCCATCAGCGCATGCAAGAGGTAAAAGCCACCAAGATTCGCCTTCGTGAGACGGACATTCGCGTCCACCAAGCACATTCAGAAGTACTCGACAAGGAAGTGGAGACTCTGCAACTCAAGATACAATTTCACCAAATGATGCAGGCCAGCAAGGCAGCATTAGATGGAGGAGTTGGGTGAGTTGTCTCATTGTCTCCATTCGTTGCTTGCTGTCTCCATTCATTGCTCGTTGTCTCTACTTGTTGCTCATTGTCTCCATTTGTTGTTGCTCGTTGTCTCTTACTTGTTGATGTTGTCACTATGCTTACATTTGTGTTGTTGTTACTATGCCCTTTGTTGTTACTGACATTGTTATGTTTGTTTTCTTTTGCTGTACAAGTGCATTGGTAGTAGTACATATCTAATCAAGTACTATTGTTGTCATCCTTCCCTATGGTGTGCATTTGAGTGAGGACTGTCAAAGAGTGCATCCATCAGCCTTGCTCTAGCAGCTTGTCCTGGAGTGCCTTCATAAGTCCTGTCCCCAACAACTTCTTCACCATCTGGATACTCAACCTCTTGGTCAATGCAATCTTCCCCCTCTTCACAAGCCCACTTTAGAGAGCTCTCATATGTCCCATCCCTCTTGTGGTGCTTGATTTCAAAGCAAATGATCATGTTGTGTAGGATAATGCAGCACTTGATCCACTGCACAGTGAACTCAAGGTCTTTCTCAGCCTGAATTCTGAACCAGAGCTCTCGAAGGGACTGGAACCGTCCCTTCAAAACAGCAAATCTGTGTTCAACATGAACACGGATCTAAAAAAATTCAATTTACTGAAATATAAACCTCAAAAAAAAATACCTTAGAGAGATGATAATTAAATGTCTTCTGGTCCTTAGTCAACCGCCCATTGCGAGGCTTCTTGAAAGGGGGCAATGCACCATGGCTCCAATGGATATGCACTGTCAGCCCACACCCAATGACCATCAGGTAGAAGGTCAGCATGCTCTTCATAGAGACTGGTAGATCGAAAAGCAAATGCATCATGGACACTCCCAGGATGACCCAGAGAATAATCCACAATGAGAAGGTTATGGGGCAAAATGACTGTCTAGAATTAAATCAATTTTTGTACATGAAGATTTTAAAAAAATACCTGACAGTCAAGGGAATATTTGGATTTCCTATCATAAAATGTCTCACCAAAGTAACCAGGTTTGGTGAAAAGATTCATAGTTGAGCCATCAATTGCTAGAAAGCCACCCTTCCACTCTGGGCAGGTACACGACTTGGCAAATTTGCGAGCCAGGTCAGCATCCTCAGAATTATCCGCTGGGAAGCAGATAAACTGATCATGAGCATCAAGCACCGCAATCATCACACAATTAGTGCAATTAACCACAGACCCAACACTCACGCCTGCCCATTGAGCGACATCTTCAAGAGTAATAGCATTTTCACGAAGAGCATTAATGGTGTCATGGAGGCAGTCGTAAGGCAAAGCGATGTCATCAGAAGAGATAGAACCATCACTGGAAGAATCTGAAGTCCCTGTCATAGGGGAGAGGGGGGAGGGGGGGAAGGTGAACTAAAAGATAGATAGATTGAATTATCATCTGAAGTAGTAGAAAGTGAGTCCTCGGAGTCAGAATCGCTCTCAAAGTCGGACCAATTGTCCAGGATATCCTGGTACTGTAGCTTGGCCAGGGAAAGTTCGGCCTGATCTACAATAGCCAGGAGTTCTTTACGGGTGGATGGTTGAGGCATGGTCACAATTGGGGAGTCGAGGGAATCAAAACTCCTATCCATTTGTGTATATGTGACGTAGTTTGTGGCAGAGTTTTGAAATTCGGAAAGTTCCGAAGTTTCGTCTCGCAGTGAGCACGCTGATGCCATCGTCGACCTCACCATCCGGCCTCAATGCTTACACACAGCACTGAGTAGGACATCAAATTTTCAGGTGTCATCAACCCAAGGTAAGTATTTTTTTTGCCTCCTGTAAGTTCCAGCTCACATATTCACCCTTATCTTACAGGAAATCTATTCTAGTGCTAGTCCCACACATGACCAACAGCAGCTCATCTTTACTGCCAAGCCGCTGGTTCCTCACTACCCCCTACCCCTTCTACACTCCCCTTCTTGAGGGATCGACTCTGCACTCATTCCAATCCAGCCGGCTCAAGGCATGCTTAGGTTTACATTACCCCTTATGCCTGATGCAGTCTTTCAACCGCCCCAACCTGTACTATGCCGCAGTACAGCCTAAACCATCCATGAAAAAGAAGGTGGTTCAAGCCATTGCTGGTTTCATCAAGTCACAGCATGCTACCCATACTGGCATTGTGCATGGCTTCTTGAAGTCGGAGTGTGAGGAACTTGCTGAGCAACTGTGAAATGACTATGGCTTATCTACCAAACATTACCGTGCCAATATGGGCCCACAAGAGCGCAGCACCACTCAAGATCCGTTATCCACTCAACTTGAGGCTTGAGGCATGGCAGCATCCTGGAAAGCAGCTCAAAGGTAGCCGTACTCTCCACAACTATAACATCGTCTTTCACTTTACTTTACGTCTCTGCAGATTCATGCAGATCTTTTTCATGTGTCCTCCTCCCCTTGGCACTTATTTAGTCCCTCTGGCATTCACTACCTACAGCTCATTTCATTCTCATGTGGACTCCCTTGTTTTATGAATGTTAACATTCAAAATACAATGTATATCTACTATGGGTTGCTTTTTTTTTACTTGATGTATGACTTCCCCCTATGAACATACACTTTGAAAAATCACAAGTGTTTGAATCTCCAACTTCGTGCCGATGTGCACCGAGCATGTTTTGAGCGAGTTGAAACCAAATTTAACCGAGAGTTCAAAGTGTGTTAAGTGTGTTAAGCGAGTTTTCAAAACCTTTCAAAACCTATTTTGAGTATCACTTATGAATATCATTGAATCTGACAGCAATAACTGCATGGCTCAAAGCAGAATTGTGCAAAAAGACAGACTTGAAGTAGATTATTACTAGTAGTACTAGTATGAATTTTTGTGGAACAATGAAGCACTAGTCCACAACTAGTAAATATGTCAGCTGCCAGTGGCCACTGAGCTCCTGCCTGGGCTGTATTGATAGACCTTTGTTGGCATCTTAACTTCAACACTCTCCAATGAGTCTCTGTCATGGCTATCAGTGCCAGAAGACATGGGTCTCTCCCCCTCAGCATGCCCTCATTGTACTCTAATGTTACTCAATCTGCAGGCCAGTCAGGAGACTGGCTGCCTTCAACACCCTCAGCCAATCCGAAGTTGTCCTTTGTCTTTAGTCAACAAACACTCCAAGTTAAATAATTGCACAAAGACAATTTGGAGCCTGTAGTAGGACTGCCTGACCTTGATCAGCTAATCACTCTTGATGATAACCTTAAAGCAGCATTTGTAGAAACACTTGCTTTTGACCATGATTACACTAATGAAGGTCTGAATATTGGTACAAATTTTTTGCAATCATTTTCTTTTCAGTTAGATTTGATGACTGCACTCTCAAGATCACTGTATCGCCATTCTTGAAGAACTTCAGCAGTTTCAACTAAACACAATCGTAAGGTATCAATTGAGTCCATCGAGTATCTCTAACACCCTTCAAGACCATCCAGCATATCACACAAGCAGAATATGCGGCTGTCTTATCGTTTACATCTGAATATCCTAGTATAGAGTTCAAAGCCAGGTAAGCCAGCTGCTCAGATTGCTGACTTACATCTTGTGTTGATTGTTACTGACACATACAAGATCCAACTACTTTCCAGACACTCAAGAAGTCGAGATTATGAGCCCCTCCCCCGTTCATGAAACCATCATCACCTACTTTTTGCAAATCAGTCACGATGACCAGTATGTCAACACACAATTCTTCACGAAAAATCGGCTCCCCGATGAAGAATCATCGCAGCAAGTCCTGGATATCATGGGTGTTGTGCACTGTGTTGATCAGTTTGGCAATGACAAAAGCTTTGTTCAGGTGGCTCGTTGAGGCAGGTTTCAGCCAAAGTGACACATCTATCATGCGCAAATTTGGGAACATGGTGAAGAACAATTCAGACATCAAGATGCTAATCAAGGTATCAATCAATGAGGATGGCACATTCCAAGGTCCCAAAGGGCACACTGAGGTCGCAAAGTGGCTTTGCAAATCTGGATCGCGGATGAACCATGAGAAATTCAAGAGGGTGACAGAATGCATCGTGTGAGGGTGACCATTTGAATTCTATGATGATTTCTGTGGCAGAAACATTGCAGTTGGGAGATGAAGGTTCACATCCATCGGGATACACGCAGATATCCGGCTTGATGTTGAATACCGTTGAATTTAATTTTGAACAGTTTTTCATGTCTTCGTATTTGTGAGTGTCGACAAACGACAGTTGAGGAGCGAAAGGTGTGATGGCGTTAATCTGGAATGGTGATCAATAATCTCAATAATGTATGTGCGAGGGTATACTCACAAAGGGTTTGTAAGCATGTTCCTCATTTCTAACAGAGACTATATCGTTGATTGCGCCAACAGCGAAGGCTGAAGTGAAGGACGAAGAATCATAATCGGGAATTTGAGAAGTTGGTAAGAATTCCTGGAGAAAGTCCCTAACTGGCATCGGGATGACAAAGTACCCTTTCATCTCTTTACCCATAGCATTAATAGTTTCAAGCCGGCATCATGTAAGAGTGGTAAAGGGCAGCATGGTAGAACTGTCCTGTTTGATAGGAGTATCAATGACATCATTGGGACCTAAATAGGGGCCGTCCGCAATAGGACATGTAACTGGTTTTACGGTAGAGGCACCTTCGACAGGCACTGCAACGTTCATGGGTAAAATGTACAGGGTATGTGTGTGACAATATGTATAAGAGATATGGATATGTATGTACAGATAGCTAACGGCAATAATGGATGATATATTCCGAAGAGGGAAGAAGAGAAAAAAGACGAAATCTACATTTGGAGCCTTTTATAGTGAATGACTCAGACTCAGTTTGGATTTTCCCGGATCTAGAACCCTGCTGCAAGTGGGTGAATCTGCGTTTTGAAATTCAGTCCTATACATCGTGAGATATGACGTGTGAAAAATGGGGAGGGACATACTCGACACAAGGACATGGCAACAATGTGCTGTGGAGAAAAATTCCATCGTGTGAAGTGTGATACTACCCACTCAGGCTTGACAGTTTTGAGATGATCAATGAGCACTGTAGAATATAAACGAGCCAGAAAGTAAGGATAGTGTCTGAAAGGATCGAGGTGAGAATGCAGAGGGAGGTAATGCCATATGGCAAAGCCCACTACTTCGCTCCATCTCGAAAATGTACTTGATGATCCCTGGTGTTGGGGGCACGTTCCTGATACCGCCATGATAATAGAGGATCAGGCTGTTGCCTACATGGGTGGAGTCACGGGTATAGATGGATCCCTCATGGAATGTGCGAGCGTGCAAGATTGCCTGCTGAACTTGGATGAGTTGATGGAGGTCGTCTGGAATAACTTGTTGTGTAAGGGGGCGATCTTTGGACACAGAAATAGGATCAGCGTCAACTAAGGGAGACACGAGTCTGTCGAATAGAGACTTCACCTCCCTAAACACGGGAGGACAAGAAGGTCGGTTTAGCCAATACTTAAGCTTTGCAGCCTTCATGTATGAGTGAAGGAGAGTGGATTCTTGCTGACCTGCGTGAGGCAGCATAAGTCCGTTATTGACACAGAAGTTAGAATCATACCGAAAATGTGATTGTTGGGCAACCGTTGCAGCTGCCCAATGAGATGCTCGTATGGGAAGCACCACCATGACCTTACCAGACCGAAGAGCTGCAAGTAGTCCCAAATATGCAATGCCATATGGCCATTCGTGTGATGGGGTGCACGTGGAAGCAACACCTGCAGGTCCCTCATCCAGTCGATAATGCATCCACGGTATGCTTCTACTCAAGTGGTTGTCATAGACCATTGACACACGATGTGGACGGCAGATACGAGGGCAATCGTATGATCAAGGATTGCACGACAACTGACTGTGATTTCCAATGTGCGGTAAGTAGATCCCTCGCCCCACAAGCTAACCAGAGCTATGGGTAAGTATAATGTCATTAATGTGCGCCATTCATCGGCCTTCAGGGTTCCAGCTTTTGTTTCCCCGAAGTTACGGGGAACTGATCTTATCGAGGATGGCGTATCCATCGTCCTAATCACATCAGTAATGTGTCGCATGACCTCTGGGGTAGCAATGCACAAGTTTGACAGCTCAGGCGTGAAAGGTTGAGTTTGATGCTACAGAGGCACTTAAGAGCATACAATAACATCAATATAAAATGCTCACCCAACTGATGAGTGATCTAACCCAATAGGGTTTGAAGACTTTTTTGCCAGCATGAGGGATGTCTGGCGTGACGCCCAATCCTTCCGACACAAACCGAAGGGATGCAACTTTCTTGTTCAACAATTTTCTCTCTAATTGCGCAAGGTGATCCTTGATAAGCTGTGGGTCATTCCCTTCAAGGTTGGGGACTGCTTCAGTAAGGAGACTCTGAATTGATTTGACAACTCTAATGTCTTTTCTTGGAAGTCTTGAGGTTTGTTGAGGTCGACGTCAAGGAAGAGATGAGTAAAAGCAGGGATAACATCAGGCTTGTGATGTGCGGAATCAGATGTGAGGCCTAAAAATTCGCGAAAATGAGTGTGCGCGAGACCCTCCAGCAGGCAATGCATAGCATCGACGACAATTTGGCGAGAAGGATCCCAGTATGATGACCTCCAGAGTGTCGACCACCGCACCCCATGTGATGCGAACAACTTGTTGCGTTCAGCAGAAGTTCCAGCATTCTTCCAGAGTTCAGCATGGCGGCACACTTCATCCTTGTCCCGAAGTCTCCAATCTTCAGACTGGATGTCTGTTCGACCGCAAGTCGATCTGTGCCAACAATGGCAGGCAGTGCAAAAAAAATGGCTCAGTTGGACCCGCTAGCTGAGCAGCCTTTCTCACCGCCGGGAGGTCACATACTAGACATGCTATGGCGCTGCGTGTGACCTGGCCACGAGCGTTGAGAGCTGTGCGGCTGTAACGTATTCCAGTGTTCCCAACTTTCAACCATATCATCAACCACAGGATTGAGAAAGAAATTCAACTTGTCTCCTGAAGGTTCTGAAGGTCCAAGGATGATACCAGCTAAGTACATGTTCTCGTGTTTGTACCGGATATCGAGGGGGAGGTTCAAACATGCGCATGAGACGATGCCGGTGGATGTTGATGCATTTCGTTGACTGATTGCCTTCAACGTTGAGTGTGAAAGTGTATCGGCCTTCATCGCCTCTGTCAATAAATAGAGACTGGCCAGACAGACCCTGGAAGGTGCGAAAGAAACTTGTGTCCCACACATCCTTGACGATATGCGGTGTACTCCCAATGGAGGCTAGTAAATCATCACAAGGCCTATCCATCAAGGCCTCCAAGTCGGGACAAGACAACAATCCAGCAAGGTAGTTGTGGAAGTGGTGATAAAGGAATGTTTTTATTGGCTCGAATTGCCCGTCAGCGGAGTGCTGCAGCAATGGTTCGCCACAAGGATCACCTTCTGGTATGGGTTTGTTGGAACAATTTGTGGGATATCGCACGTTACTTGTGTTGAGGTTGGTCGTCGGCTTGTAGGTACAATTGCACGCCGGACAGACTGCATAAGCAGTGGTCTGGCCATCGAGCTTGAAGCGTGAAAGCACGCTTTCCATAGATCGCGGAATCTCAGCAAGAGTATTTTGCTGACAAGACTCAGAATGAGGGTCCTGCACATCCATCGCAAGACTCAAAATTAAGGATAGAACTCCCATGAGAAACTCCCCATGTCTATGACTGATACCAAAGATGACAACAGAAACTGCCCCTAAAAAGAGGGATAGTTGGGCAACCTCGTCACAGTAGTCGATTGGCAAATCGTAATGATGTGCTTCATAGGACATCAGTCAGAGGAACATAGGGAGGAAATGAATGGAACTCACAAGAATCAAACTCAACTGGTTGAGATGACACAGGAAGGTCATTTTCCTTGTTGGTGAGCAGTCTATGCATTTCATCACATGTGGCTTCCAGCTGGCTTCTACAAGAAACAATGGAGGAGACCTTGTGTTTGACTTTTCGGAGGGTTGTAGTTATTCCACCTAGCTCATCTCATATAAGACATAGCACATCGTGAGAAGTCGCGGAGAAAATTCGAGTATGAGCTCTAGCAATCTGTGACTCTACAATGTTCAAAGTTACTTGAGCCCTTGACTGGCACCGCACTTCAACAGCCTGGAGAGCATGGGCAATATGTATGTCTAAGAAACAACCAAATTAGAGGGCTCGATGTAAGGTGATGTCTGATATGATGCTTACTGCGTATCATCCAGAGTGAGTCCAGACACCAGATTGGCCATAGCAATCCATAGAGTAGCTTTTTCCCTTGTCCCGTTGAACCTCTGATCGGGAGACCCAGAATTTGCTGTGACTATCTGGGTCGCCCTCGATGTCGCTTAGGGTGATTGCGAATAGTTCAGCGGCAAGGTCATTGTTACAATCATGCTTTTCTTTCGCTTATTTGTCTCTTTTGTCTGACAGTACGCTTTTCATTTATGATCACTTGCCTTTCTTGAACTATGTACTTATATCTCACAACTACCTTGGTCCGTGCGCACATATCGACTTATTTAAGCACATGTATTAGCCTTGTAGAACTTCACTTGAATCTTACTAGGTTTTACCAGAACTTCCTTCACTTAAGACCTCCAATCTTAAGTTGTCTGAACTAGCATTCTTAGTTGAAGCACTCCTTCGACTAAGTCTTTACTGAACCCCTTCTTTTCTGAAGGACTTCACAAAACTCAACAGCTCGAAACTCTGTCGAGTCGCTGTTGTTAGAACTACCCTAGTTCGTAACAAAAGATTCAAGTCTTTCAAAAGGACACCTGTATCCACACATGTTCCGAAGAAAAGAAACAGAAGAACAGACAAGCCCTGGCTGAGCAAGACAGCTAGTGCAGGCAAAGAAGAGATGACAAACTGACTTCACTCACTCCCACCTTTCAAGCCCTTAATCTCAGTACCCCCGTACCGCCATTGAACATGTCGTCTTCATCAAAACTATTCGAATACAAGATTAATCATCCGCCCATCTTCGATGGAGATCGAGAGAAGTCTAAATCTTTTATCCTATCCTGCAATGCATACATGGACATTAACGAGGAATTATACAAAACTGACAAACAATGTGTCATCTTCATCACCTCATTTATGAATAAAGGAAATGCTCTGCTATGGAAAGAAGAATTCCTGACGGACGCCCAACATGTCGATTCCTCTGGACAAAAGAAAGGATATGGAGCAATGAAAGAATTCATGGAAGTATTTGAAAAAGCTTTTGGAGCTATTGACCCTTCCAGAACTGCCTTAGCAAGAATCATTCACCTCAAGCAAGGCAACGGAGAACTGCAAAGCTACATTGCAGACTTCCAAAGACTCCTCGTGCAAGCAAAGATCAAAGAAGAACACATGAAAATATTCCATTTCCAGAATGGGCTGAACACCGGACTCCTTACCAAGATATTCAATGCTGGAGGAGTTCTGAAGAACCTAGACAACTATATCGCCGCAGTCGTGGATATGGATAACTGCTA